ATCTTCGTCAAATTCGAACGGCCGTTGCAGCTGTCGGACTTTGCAGCCCGGCCCTTCAATCTCGCAGCAATTGTCGACTTGGGGATGTTGTATATCTCTGCAGCGCGTCGGATACTCAACCCCGGTGTTGATCGAATCGCATTGATCGCGAGAAGAACTCGGTTTTCTGGGAAGCTCTCGGACATTGTTGTGGTAGAGAAAACGCGTCTTGAAGTTGGGTGATTATAGTGAAGGAAAAAGTGTCCCGGTCGATGGGGTGTCCCGCTCGATGGTGGACCACGTTAACCTACTAGTATTTTCATTTCTCTCTTGTCTTGTTCTCTTACGTTCCTTGCTTTCTATTGTCCCAATATTATATCTAGTAACCCGCCATGTGCCACGCCAACTAACAAGATCCCCTTGGACCAAGCCTGTCGGCAAGAAATGCGACTAATGATTATTTGTCTTTGTTCATAGGAACCTTGGAACTGAGGAAACCGAGTCAATCTCATGGCTCGACGTCCGCAACTATGGACCGTCTGAGGGCTACCCCCCCATGTCCGATATTATTCCTCCTGACCCACCAAGTCGCGTGAGCTTCATGACGACCCCAGATGGGGTTCTTCTTGCCGTCGGCTACCGCGTACATCCGGTTCTCATCTGGAACGCGCTCGACATGCAGCTGCTCGGCACCTGTAAGCCCGACGTTCCGAACAACGGAATCAACGCCATGGCCTTCAATCCAAATCCGGAAATACCAGCGCTGTTGGTGTCTTTCCAGGACGGCAGTCTCTGTGTCTTCAACTACTTGACCATGGAATTGCAAGTCAGCAAACCGGATGTCTATGCCAGTAGTGTCGCGTGTTCGTCTGACGGGCGCACGGTGGCCATCGGCAGCCACGAGGGGGTCATTGAGGTATTTGAGTTCGACCAAGCACACAATGGCGCTACTATCACACTCACTATCATCTACCGGAGCAATCACCCGTTAGATGAAGCTATCCGCAGGGTTGGCTTCGTCGCCGACGGGCTCCGTTTTGTCGACTTACGTGGCCGGCAGGGGCGGGTCTGGGCCCCAGCGGCGTTGGTGAGAAAAGGGACCAACGAGCGGGATAGCTCAATAGGATCCTCCGAGGCCGACGCTGCAGTGCTATTTCCACCTCGGCCCTCTCAAAGGGTGTTTCATACCGGCGTCGATCCCAACATCACAAGCCTACCAATACTATCGGCGAACGGCAACTTCGTCGTAGCTGGCAAAAGTAACGGGGATGTGGTCCTGTTCTCCGCCGCTGATGCCAAAGACATCGGAGTCCTTTACCAACATCCGCATGGAGCATCTGTTGTCAGCGTGGCCATTGTCGAGTCTCGAAACCGGGTGATATCGGCTGACGACGGGTCTCGAATTTTGGTGGTCGACTTGGAAGTGCCTTTGTCGCAAGTCACGGCGGCATCGTGCCTAAGGAAACCGATGATTGTCCTAGATCACCGCTTTGGGGGCGCTGCCGCGCGCGTGCTTGCTCATCTCGCTGGAGATCGCGTTCTTGTGAGCGGTCGCTACTCTGACGAGTTGTGGAAAATCCCATCGGGGGAGGTTTCTCTTGCAGGAGGGTCCATTGACAAGATGGAGTCCAAGCTCGCGCCTGCAATAAGTTCATTCCCGCCACGTCCGGTATCCCCCGCCCAAGGAGCTTCAACGTCGACTGATGATCGGACGATGAGAGCTGGCCCACGATCTGTCTTTCCACACCCCACCTGCCCAGAATGGTTTGTAATCGTTGTCCGGGATGTCGCACGGATCTACTCTTGGGACGACTTCACTGAGCTTACCTCGCCCGAAGGCATTCGACTCCTGAAGGAGCCAATTGATGCCAATCGCACGCCGTCATCTCCACCCGTACCAAACATTTCTTGGGAACACGCAACCACAACCTACCACGTCGGACACAATTTCGTCGTCGAGCGCTTCCAGCCTTCACCATCCGTCCCTCCACGAGTCTACCTTTGGCCGGCGACAGAGCTTGATCCTTCTTCGCACAGTGGTTTCGCCCAGCCTGCCATCGAACCCAACTTGGACGCAGTCAGCCCAGCTGTTCTACAGGTCCTCCGCGTGTCAGGGCCGTCGACACTCCTAATCCTGGACTTCAAACTGTGGGTATGCAGCGTCGAGCTACAGTCCATCGCATCAACTCCGTCGCCAGCAGCTTCAGCCAGTCCCGGAGGTTTCAGTAGAACACCGCCCTCATCAGGATCTAACTCCTCGCTTACGTCGTCTTCGCGATGGAGCGCGCAGTCATCGAAAGCGACGGCTCGAGAGCCAACAGCCCACGCCAGGCGACATTTCTTTGCCTTGAGCGAGTGGCGGACGGGAAACGGAGAACTGCGGTGCGCTGTCGCGGTGAACCCACCGGTGCCGGGTCGGGGTGGCAGTAAGCCAAGTGATCTAGTTGTGTTTGCCGCTGGGCCGAGGCTTGTGGTTGTGCATGGCGGGTTGGGATTCTCAGAGAGCGTGGTGGCTGCAGGTGCCATGGATGGTGATGCTGCTCTGTCGGGCACTGCTGGGAAGTATGGGGAAGGGCGGGGCGCTGGACAGGAGCTGTGGAAAGTTGTGTCGGGGAGCATGCATCGGCGATCGTCGAACTGGTAAATAGGAAGGACTGGGTGATCTCCCGACCGGGGACCACACAGTCCGAACAGCTTCCGTCCGGTTTTAGCGACGATACTGCCTGGTATCTGCGCTACTGTATGTATACAATTTAACCCTGGTTTGTTTGTTACCGCGAAACTTACGTGCTAGGTATTACGAAGTCACCTCATTTCCCTGCGCTTCAATTTTTTCATTCTTTCTTCCCTGTTCCTCTTCCTTTTTATCTTTCTCTTCCATCTTCCTCTTCCTATCTATCTATACCTTCTCTTTTTTATGTTCCTTTACTTTAACGTACATTATGCGCGACTCTACTGATAATGTACGTTGATCTTTTAACTGTAACGTTAGTTAGTTATAACTACTTAAGTTAGTTAAGTTACTAGAAAAGTGACTTACAGATGCAAATCTTTGATTAGCTGGCATCTTGGCTGGCCTGGTCTGCACCCTGGTCTGTTCCCTTTGTGACCCCGGTGGAGGTGTACTTCACGTAATTTCTTCCCCCCATTATCAACCATCTAAGTCTCGGAGTTTCCCATCTCGACGTTTCGGAGCGGAAGCACAGAACCGAATTGTTCAAGATGTCGGCGCTCGGTCGCTCGGTCGCCCGGCCGCCGCTCAGCTCGGCCTAGGAGTGCAGGGAGAGTGCAACCGGGGAGCTGAGTTTGGCCGAAGTCAAATCTGTGCCAAGCACACAGCCTCTCGGCAGGGTAAGGCTGGGCTGTCCTCGTATCTCGAGCCAAGCCCAAGAACACCCCCATGCTGACTTTGTCAGCTGTTACGCACAGGTAGCTCAAATCGGGTTAGATTTGCCCAGCCGCTTCCACCACCTATATCGATACGAAGAGTCCCAGGTTCCTGAACCACCCAGCACGTGGATCTCGACAACATGTCACCGCGCTAGCAAATGTGGCTGAAGGCTAATGCGAGCTCTACGCTAACCGTCGGATGATCCGATCGGGTCGATGATGTGCAAGATCGTTGCATAAGAAGCAGAGAGGGGCCCTTCCTGGGCATCGGATCTGGCTATCTCCTGGAGGTCTCTAACTCTTGTCACTCGCTTCTGGGAACGGAGAGATGAAGATACCAGTGGTTCAAGCAGTGCTCTTCAATGCCTTTGGTGCACTCTCGCTGTGGGCTTCCGCTGGTTATGCCCAACAGCAGGATCAGCTCCGGATCGCTCTGAAACTCAGTCCGGAAGCGCATCAGAAACAACAAGCCGACCCCAACTTCATCACAACTCTATTTCAGAGAACGGAACCTCAAGAGTTTTCCGCGGCTCCTCAGGTCACAGTCAATCCACTCATCGGAGCGCAGCGCTCGGCCAACATTTCCGCCAGGTTTGCGCTTGCTGGCAAGCGGGATGCTGCGCCCAACTTCGACGTTTGGTATCAGGTTCAACTTGGATCCGGGTCGGCTGAGAAGACTCGACGCGGCGCTCAGGCTCAGAATGCCACGGCCGAAGCCGCCATGCCGCAGCACATTGTTGACTTGATCCGCGAGCTCATCCAACAACGTGAGGTCGAGAGCGCTCACCCACTTTTAGCCGCCCCGCCCCCTTCGCTTGGAGCCAGGGCGGTTGATGCCCTCGATGATCCGCGCAGCCCAAATCAGGGGTACCTGAACCCGGCCCCACAGGGCATCGATGCGCGCTACGGCTGGGCTTTCCCTGGCGGTGATGGTACTGGTGTGAACATTGTGGACATGGAGCAGGGTTGGAACCTCAATCATGAGGACTTGGTAAGCCCTACCTCAGTCGTCTCGGGCGGAAGCCGGATGGTGTTGGAGTTGGTAAGGAAAAGACATGTGCTAACACGAAGGCCACACAGGTAGCCGCTGGCATTACCATGATTTCCGGCTGGAATAAGGACAGGTATGGATTTGCGCACGGCACCTCGGTTATGGGCGAAATGCTCATGGCGGACAACCAGATGGGCGGCGTCGGCATTGTGCCCGGTGCCAAGGGCAGGGTCATCTCGCAGTGGCGTGACGAATATTATGCCAACACGCCAGATGCCATCCTCGACGCCGCTGCCCACATGAGCTTTGGAGACATTCTGCTGCTCGAAGCACAAGAATTGGACCCGACGGGCGAATTCGGTTACATGCCTGTCGAGGTCTTCGATGCCACCTTTGAAGCCATCCGGGTTGCGACGTCTCTCGGAATTATTGTCGTGGAGGCCGGCGCAAACGGCTACCGGGACCTCGACGCGTACGTAAGCATCTCGGGGAAGAGCATTTTCAACCGCTCCAGCCCTGATTACCGCGAGTCTGGCGCCATCATGGTGGGCGGTGGCACTGCTGGGGTCCCCCATTACCGCTGGTATGCTTCCAGCCACGGTTCGCGGATTGATGTCCATGCCTGGGCTGAGTACGTCGACACGGCGGACTCGGATTGGTATGGTACCGAGAACACCTTGTATACCTGCTGTTTCGGCGGCACATCCGGCGCATCCCCTATCATTGTCGGCGCCGCAGCAATCCTCCAGGGCATCTCCTTCGCAACCCGGGGCGTCAAGATCGGTCCCTTGGAGATGCGCGACATGCTCAAGATCAACGGAACTCCGAGCGGCGACCCTGCCTCTGACCGCATCGGCGTCATGCCCAATCTCAAGGGCATCATCGACACCGTCTTCCACAACAACACCGGCGGTGGACAACCCGACATCTACATCCGCGACTATGTCGGCGACACGGGCGACGCCACATCCGGCGGCGTGTCCTCCAGCCCAGACATCATCGTCCGCCAGCAGCCCATCGCCAACCCGGACGCCGCCCTCGGCTCCGGCAGCGGCACCGAGAGCAACCCTGCCCTCTCGCAACCCGTCGTCTCCGGCCAAGACCACTCGATCTACGTCCGCATCCAGAACCGCGGCACTGGCGCCGCCTCCTCCGCCAACGTCACCGTCCACTGGTCCGAGCCCGCTACCCTGGTAACCCCCAACCTCTGGACCGAGATCGGCACCGTGAGCCTCCCGGCCATCCCGACCGGCAACACCCTCACCGTCTCCCCGCGCCTGGCCTGGCCCGCCGACAAAGTCCCGGCGTCAGGCCACTACTGCTTCGTCGCGCTGGCGGGTACAGACCGCGACCCGACCCCAACCGTGCCCAACACCTTCCCGGACTTTGTCAAGTTCGTCAGCGAGAACAATAACGCCGCCTGGCGCAACTTCAACGTCATCCCGCCTGCGGCTGGCGGCGGGTGGCACAAGCTGCCCGTGACGGTGCCTGGCGCGTTTGACAGCGCCAGGGAGTTTGTCCTGAAGACGGTGGGTAACTTGCCGCAGCATGCCAAGGTCAGGTTGCACGTACCCAAGGAGTTTGCGCAGCGCATGGGCATCAAGGGGTGCAATAAGGGGGATAAGGTTGTCGTGGCGTTGAAGCCTGGGGAGACGGTGCAGGTCGGCGTGGGCGTGCTGGAGGCAGGCAGCTTCGCGAAGTTGGAGCTGCAGGTGCAAACGCATGGGGCGGAGGAGGGATCTGAGTTTGCGCTAGTGCAGGAGTGGATTGGGGCGTTCGAGGCGGTTGAGGTTGGGAGGGTAACGTGGCGGTTTGGGCAGGTTGCGGAACTGTAAGCGGGGGACGTGGAAAGGGGTAATGGGGAGGTGGATGAGGTTGGGCTTGGATAGACTGATTACATAGAGAGGGGATCCCGCGCTCTGGAGTACCTGTTGATATGGTTTTGGTTTAGTTCGGCAGCGTCTTATGTCGCGATAACAAGGAACATCATCGACACACACGGCGGTTTTTGCATCTCGAGAAGCTGCCCTTGCGCTTTACACGCCGGCCGATGACTACCTTACCTTACCTTTGGGTTGTTTTCGGTCCCGACAGGACACCAACCATGTCCTTGCTTCAGCAGGCCTATACTTGAAGGCGAGTGAAGCTGAAGTACATAACTATACTGATCACGACTGTTGTTAGCTAGGGAGGAGGAGACCGTCTTGTCAGCCTAGTCGACTGGCTCGACGTATTGGGTTGGAGGGTGCATTCTGATCATAATACTGAGTGCGATAATCCGCGAGCGAGTGAAGGCCGTAGACCTAACTGCCGCGATCATCTTGCGGCATCTTCCAGGTGAGCAAGCTACCTTGGTTCCAGATTTAAGACGACACTCTAGCTTCGGCTAATTTGCATGCGGTGACACACGGCGACCATGCACTCCAGGTTTTTAAATATCGCGTCGACATAGTCCAGCCAATGACCATGTGCCGGTTCCCGGCAGTCGGCCAACTATGATAGTGAAGGGGCTCATCAACTGCCGGCTGACATCGCTTCATGGACGGAGAGTCTTGGCTGGTCAGGAATACACAGTCCATGGAACCTTAGTCCTGACTTCCATGCTCGCTGGTAAATGAGGACGCTATAGTTTCGAAATGGCGGCTATTCTTGAACCGTACATCTTGAAGGCCACATATCTGGAGTAATGAAAAGGACATGACTGCCCCAAGCCTCCAGGTCCCTGCCCGTGTCAGCGTTGAGTCCAGGGAACCCGCATACCGCTCACCAAACCGTCAGATGGTCCAACTCGCGGCATTGGGCGCGGCCCTCTGTGCAGGCCTTGTCTCAGCTGGCGCGTACCCCCCTGATGTGGTCGACGAACTGGCCGAATCCAGCATGCCAAAGCTGAAGGACTGGCTTGCCAAGAACCCGCAGCCCGGTTGCACCTACGAGACGGCAGCCAAGCGGACAGAATGGTTGGTCTTCCGGGGCTTGAACCCTTGATTTGCCCCTAGCACGGTGTTGACACATCACAGGAGTGACCTTAGTCTCGATGAACGCAAGCAGTACACCAATGCTGTGCTCTGCCTGCAGTCGAAGCCCGCCCTGATGAGCTCCCAGGCGCCAGGGGCAAAGAGCAGGTTTGACGATTACGGTATGGCAATCAAGCAAGCACAAATTGGGGCTTTCTAACCTTAGTGATCCTCCCAGTCGTCGTCCATATCCAGCAAACCCCGAGGAACCATGGCTCGGTAAGGACGCCTGAGTGGAGATGGTGGGCACTGCTGACGTGTGTTGCAGACCTTCTTTCTGCCCTGGCACCGGTACTACATCTGGCATTACGAGAACGCCCTTCGTACTGAATGCAACTACACGGGATATCAGCCGGTAAGCAGCGCCTTCGTATCCGAATAAGCCTTAGTACCTTACAAGGACACAGTACTGGAACTGGGACCGCTACGCCAAAGACCCTGCCAGCTCGCCCCTCTTCGACGGCAGCGAGGGTAGCATGGGCGGCAACGGCGCCAAGGTGGCCCACCAAGGCATCCCCATCCCCGGCGCGCCGCGTCCCTACGACATGATCCCGCCGGGAGACGGTGGCGGCTGCGTTACGACAGGCCCGTTCAAGAAGTACCATCCATCCAACCCCATCCCGTTCATCCCACAACAACTCCATACCTAATACCCAAACACTAACTCTACGTCCCTCCTCCCAGCATGACGGTCAACCTGGGCCCAATCGCCCCAACGCTCCAACAAATCCCGCGCAACCCGCGCGTCGACGGACTGGGGTCCAACCCGCGCTGCCTGCGGCGCGACATCAACAAGCACGCGGCGGCCGTCACAATGGCAAACTACACCCACTCCCTCATCAGGTCCAACAGCGATGTGTACTGGTTCCAGACCGTCATGGAGGGCCAATTCCCGCAGGGCAAATGGGGTGTGCATGCCGGCGGGCACTACACGGTGTCGGGCGACCCGGCGGGCGACTTCTATGTCAGCCCCGGGGATCCGGTGTTTTGGCTGCACCATGCCATGATTGATCGTGTATGGTGGATCTGGCAGCTGCAGGACTTGGAAAGGAGGCTGGCGCAGGTTAGTATGACGAGGACGATGAATAACTTTCCGCCGAGCGCCAATGGGACGCTGGATGATTTGAGTGGGCTCGGGGTGTTGGCGCCAGATGTTAAGGTGAGGGAGTTGATGAATACGATGGGGGGATTGGAAGGCAAGTTCTGTTATGTTTATGAATGAGAGGAATAGGTTGAGGAGGGTTGGAAGAGGAGCGAGATGGGTTGTGCATGAAAGTGGAGGTATTTTCTTGGCCCATCAGATGTTGTCTTTGTTTGCTGGGTTCCTGTGTCTCCTTTAGATTCGAGTCGTTCGCCCTCAGACTAGTCATCAAAAACACACAACGTCTCAGGTTGCAACCGAACTCGGTAACAATGAATTCAATCAGTACCATTAAAGATGTACAGGGAATGCCTCTTTATGGAAGCGTCGCCTTCGATTCTCGCAGGTCGGCGGCCAAAATTCAGCAAGTGGGCCCTCGGACCGGCCCCACATCACGGGCCCGGCCGGGGAAGAGACACCGGGGACCACATCGGGCTTCGCCTATGGATGATATCAAAACACACAGAAAAGGAGAAGGAGGCAGGGAATTAATTATACGCGAAGTAAGGTGCAGGTCAATATTCACGTGTATTCAATTGAATGTCATGTAGCAGAGTCACATGGGCAGAGGGAACGTTGTTGAGTATGAATGCATTATTTTATTGTGAATGCCTAGGAGTAGTAGAAAGCTAATACATACGTGGTTTGCCAAGTAATCCATCGCAGTTGACATGACATGGAGAACTTATGGCTGCCAAACCAGCCGGAGACATTGTCGGGTCTACTTGGCGAGGCTTAGAACCCGCCGAGCCGACATACCGCCAAGGACGGAGGGAGGATGCGCATACTCGACTCTGAACCGGCACAGAACCGAGACATACTCGAGGTTTGGGGAGTACTCTTTGGACAGCTTAGCCAGCTGCTGAAGAGAGACCCTTGTGACCGCTTCCGGACAGCCATTCTCGGCAGTCTTCCAGCGGTTCTTCACGCCCCAGTTGACAAGAGTCCGTCCATCGGGATACTGGCGGATAATCTCTCCGTACGACTCTTTGTGGGAACCAGCCAACAGCTCCATACGGTCCGTCTGTACACTAAACACCCTGCTCTGCTGGTCCTCGAATTCGCCATTTGGGAGCTGGCCTTCTTCAAAGACTTCCTCTTGTGACTCAGATATGAGACCCGGGAATGTATCCATGATGAGACCTGCCAGATTCATGGCGCCGAACCCAAGCTTGATTCTGTACGCCCTGTTAGTTTGCGGGGATTTGATCCTAGTCTGCGTAACATGCAGCCTGTGCAGGTCGACCAAGTGAAGACGCCGTACCTTGGTTCCAAAGACGTGTGTCATTACCATAAGAACCTGTTTGGCGTTGTACCGAGGCTCGTTGACCGCCGGCGGCGGCTGGGTGATGAGCAATTCTTGCGTCGCTCCGCTATAAATAGGCAGCCCTGAGCTGCCCACCAGGTTCTCCAAGTCCCATGGGAGCATGGTGACCTCGAACACCTCCTTTGCTGCCATGGCTGCTCTGGCATCAGGACAGAGGCTCAAGAGGGGCTGGCGGGCCTCTTCCTGTTCTGCTGTGCGATCAATGTTCAGGTAATACCTCGGATCTGGGGTGCTAGGAATGGCGTGCTTCTGGGGCATTTCGGTGATGTAAATCACCATGTGGGTTGCCGATATAAGATTGCGCTCGAATTCGTCAGCTGCGGCGTTGGCGGCGGCCATGTCAAACACATGGCGCTGGATCTCGGCAGGCAGCGCCTGGAATTGTGGGAATGACTGGGGTGCCATGGTCCAAAGTATGCTGTTGTTGTCTGCTTTTCTCGTGTGACGTACGTGAGTTCTGGGATGCTTCTAGAGTAGCGACAAGAAGGGTGTAGCCGTATTTATATTAGGGAGATGGAGCGCTGTACAGATCATGGTTGTTGAGCTAATCCATTCCAGTCCGCTTATTCGATCTTGTTCGTAGTGTTTAGTGAGTTGTTAAAGATCAAGTCGACTAATGCAAAAAACATGGCTCGAATAAACCAGAACCATCTTACTGGTTTTCTAAATTGGACTACTTCCATGCTACTTAGATAAGGTAACGTGTTAAGTGCTTGAACACCCCTCCATTGCCAAAAGCAGAAAAACATCTTATTCAGATCAACACCGATGTCATTCCATTTACGCTCTTACACATGGCCTACGAACCTTCGGCATGGTTAGGTTAGGGTACTGCATGGAACAATGACGGGTTGGTATTGTAGAGATTCAGAGTCGGAAATTGATTGAATCTGGCCCGGCCGTAAGCAAACAAAGAAAACACAGCCTCTTTCTCGATGTTCGGCTGGTGCTGGTGCCCAGCCTTCCGTGGCAGTATCATTCTATTCTTGGAACCTTTGGATGCAGCGATATGCAGATCGTGAGCCTAATCACACTGGGTCACCAACACGGCCCCTGTATCGCATATCAATCATGCACCACTCAAGGTATGTATCTTATCTTCCATTTGCACGGTCCTGCAGGGGTCAATACACTGGAACAGAAAGCAAAGGTTCCAAGTTTCATCGTCCCTGTCACCTTCTCACGAACCGCCCCAAACTTTTGGTGGTCATCCCGCACAGCTAATTAGCTGTGGGGAATAGTATACTGTCATAATGTGGCCGCAGATATTGCTCCATCCACCGGCAAGTCGGCGCTGCTCCATTATTCTAGCTGAGCCCTCAACCTACCAGGCAAGGTACGTATGTGACGTTCTAACCACAACAATTTCGAAACTTAACAACTGACAAGATCCATCCTCGAGGCTCAGGGCAGTGTTCCTTCATCAGATACACGGCGAGGTCCCGCGACGAGGTGCCAAGAGACGGCCGGGGCTCGGGGACCCCTTGTTCCGACCGGTCTGAGACCAACAACCTGTGGTCGTGCGGCGCGTTTGTGCATGGCACTGCATGCGGCCCGCACAAACACTCAAACTGCCGCATCTCAACCTTTCGCCACTGTGCTAGACGCCGTCGGAACCCCACGCCGGCACGAATGCCTGTTCCTGGTTGATGGCAACGGCCCGTTGGGAGGCTGGTGACATGCGGTCAAGACTTAGGAGGCTTGGGGGATGGTGCCCCGATCATGCAGACCACAACATGCACAGCTTCAGCATAAAGAATTCGAGGAGCGCAAGATGCAGTAGTCTTGATTGTTTCTCTGGGTCTCCAGAACAGTAACGTCCCGTCAAGTTCACCATGGTCAGACTTGGTGTCATTTCGGCCCTTGCTTGGGCGGCCGGCCATTTTGTTGCCGCATCTCCCAACCCAGCACCTCTTGTTGACATCCAGACGCGCAATTTCCCAGGCACCTCAGACGAGTATACGCTCCATACCATCCTTCGCCGGCTTGCGGACCTGGCCCACCGGCGGCGAGACAATGTCTTTACCAAAAGCTTGAGCCTCGACAAAAGCTGGACGGATGCCGCCCTGTTCAATTAGTGGGTTGCCTCTCCGTTCGATGCCCGCTCGGCTGACACGGCCCAGCACCCACGAGGTCGCCGGTGTCCAGGACCTCGAAGCCCAAGTCACCGTCGAGGTGGTGTGTGTGACATGCTATCTCAAAGGTGGTGCTACCGCCACATTGAGCATCAATGGTACCTTCGACTTTGGAGACACGATGAAGAATCTCACGTCACAGCTCAAAGAGGAGTTCAAGAATATGACCGAAACAGCCCTTGACAGCATCAAGAAGATCACCACTAACGTGGCGGAGGAGGTCGGCGACTTCTTCGACCCCCGGCCGGGTGAGGACTTTGAGCTTGAAGAGGTCATCAACTTTGACAACTTCACCATTGACGTCGACACTGACATTGACCTCCCACCCCTTCCTGAAGTCGGCGTCCTGTTTCAGATCGACAATTTGGACTTGTACATGCTTCTCGACACGACCATCTCGGCGGGCGCCACCTACACCATCCCCATTTTCAAGTCCCAAACCAGCTTCGGTGTCTCGGACCCCACGAACCCCGACCTTGAGATTGGTCTCTTCGTGACCATGGATCTGATCCTCAACGTCGAAGGGGAGATTAGCTTGCGCTCCGGGTTCCACCTCCTGCTTGAGGACCCGGTGGGCTTCAAAATTGCCCTCTTTGGCAACGACGTGTCCGACATGATCTTGTAAGCCGATCGACAGGCGTCATCCCCAATCCCTGCCGGAGCTGACATACTCTTTGCAGCAACGGCGGCCGATTCGAGTTTCTTCCTGTCATCCTACTCCGTGGCGAGGTGGCTCTCAGGGCGATCCTCCGCGTCGGTATGCACGCCGGCGTGTCGGTCTCGACGTCGTCGTTGAAGTTCCAAACGCTCGGGCCTGTCACCAAAAAGATATCAGAGATGGCTCAGTTCGAGGCCGGTGTGGAAGTCGGTGTCTTCGCTCATGGTACGTTGGATTCGGCTTTAGGAGAACAAATGCCGCCACCAGCGGATTTGCTCGTTCGACGCTTCTAGATACCGTGAAGATGCTGACAAATGTTTGTTAGTTGCTGAGTTTCTTACCAACGTCACGGGTGGCACCCTTCTGGCCGCCGACGAAGGCTGTGCTTTGAAGATTGTCGAAGAGTACACCTTGGCCGTCGGCGCAACTGCCGGAGCCACCGTTGCCGTAGGAGAGGTGTGTACCTTAAGATCTCCGACCATGTCCATCCCTCTCCCACATGTTGCAAGATTCCACTATACCACCGTGGCCACTGCTACGGCCGGCAACATTCCACTCCATCCCTTCCTATAAGCCTGTGAACTTCCCTCCGCTAACCTCAACTGCCCCTTTACAGCATACATGGGGTCCCCAACCAGCGACCACCATCCCCCTCTTCTACACCACGCTCGCCGACATCTGCGCAAGCACCTCCTCCACCACCCTCTCAACCGCATCCCCAACCGCTACCGCATCCTCCATTACCCTCGCCGCCCGCCAGGAAAGCGATCAACCCCCTCTCCAAACTCACACCCTCACAACAAAGGTCCTCCACACCGGCATAGGCTGCGCCTCGCCGGGCCTAGTCATCTGCCCGGCCTCGCTGCAGACGACCTCGATCCTGACATCCACCATGACACTGGTCACGGCCGTCCCGAAGGGTGTGACGCCTATGTTCCCCGCCTCGACGGCGCTCACCGTGGCGAATACCATTCCGTTTGGGGAGGGGAAGGCGGTTGGGAGTATTGCGGCGACGAGCGGGGCGCCGGTTAGTTACGTGCCGCCTCCTCCGCCTCTTCCGCCTCCGGCGTCGAGTTCGAGTTCAGTTGAGGACGGTAATGGGGGTGGGGTGGTGGGTGATGTTGGGGAGGTTTTTACGGGGGAAACGGGTGGGATGAGTAATAAATTGATTATTGGGTTGAGTGTGGGGTTGGGGGTCCCGGCTGTGTTGGCGTTTGTGGCCGGGGTGGTGTAAGTGTTTTTTCTTCTTTGTTATTTGGGTGACTGGAGACTGACACGTGATGTGACAGGTACTGGCTGAGGCGTAGGAGGTACGCGCCTGTGCCCAAGTCGGATACGGCCATGGAATATGCTGGTGGGTATGAGAGCCCCATGGCCGCGGAGCGAGAGAATATGCTTAAGAAGACGCCTGCTGTGACTATTGGTGAGGTGCCGCGTTGATGGCCGGTTCTCGTGCTGCAGTGGTATGACTCGGCTGTGATTACGGATTCTGCTGAGAGAGTGTCATGACCTCGAGGCGGAAGATAACACAGCACTGTTTAAGTGGACTGCATGCATCTGACCTTGGATCTAGCTGCAACTCCATTTCGTTTTGTGTACACTACCGTACTAAGGTACCTGAGAGAGGTTGGGTCTGAAGCTTTGTTATGCAATTATAGTTGGGTCTGAAGCTTTGTGCTGCAATTATAGTTCGACTACATTGCTTTCAACTGGCAAGTACAATGGTCCATGAGTCAAGAACAGGTGTGTTCTCCTCGATAGTGACGAGTTGTATTTCTATTCTCTTTCTCTTCTTTCTCTTCGTTCCCCTTTCTTCCTTCCCTTTCTTCTTCTCTTTCTTCCACTTTTCTGCATTCTTTTCATCATCCCTAGCATTATCTCCTAGTGTTTACAGAGATCTACCCTTTCTTTATCTTCGCTTGTATGTCCATGCTTTGTTTTCTTTGGGCCTATAATGTCGCTTTAACACACGAACGGCTTAGAATAATCTGGTGAGCTACTTGTCTTGGGAGAGTTGGATCTCCGCGAGCGATTAATCATTGTTAGCTAGTCATACATTCCGAACTGCAAGACTTACAGTACTAACTGCTGTTGTAGCTAACGTTACATGTATTTTGAAATAAAGCCGCCGGTGCCACGATGCCCTGTACTACATGTAACGTTAACGTTACTTCACCTTTACAATGCGGACACTATGCTAAGCCACTCCTTTTGGTTGGTTAAGAACACAGCCGCAGCTTGTGTAACGCCAAGAGCGCACAGCCGGCGAGCACGTTGATTGGATTCTTGGCTCGGCCTTCGGCATGATTGTTTGTCCTTGCATGCACGGACTTCAAGTCATACTCAGGACTTGGGAGATTCACCTCATCAGCCTTAGCATTCAATTTGAATCTTGGGCCAGAACACGGTTATTCTAGAACGGTTCGTTGGAGACTCCATGTATCGACGCGGTTGATTCCATCTGATGCAGTCCGGCAGTTGGACACTAACTGAACTTCGTCATGGCTGATGGCCGCCCTGGTATGGCACCCGCCGCGCGACTCCGAGAACACAATTGCTGACAGCATTCTAGTGCCCAACAGTGTCTACTTCTACGTGCCGAACAAAGGGGCGCCTATCTTCTTTGCCGTCGCGTTTGCCGTTGCTGGCCTCTGTTCCCTCTGGCAGTCCATGTTAGTGCACGCTACTCCCCGGAAGATTCCACAACTGACAATTCCATGGTTGCTTATCTCTCCAGTCACTACAAGCTCTACAAACTAGCGGGGCTGCTGCCCCTCTGCTGCGCGTTCCTGATAGCTGCCTATGCGACACGGAGCTATGGCGCGCTTCACTATGAAGACGCCCAAGTCTACACCGCCAGCACCATGCTGCTATACATGGCTCCGTTCGTCAGCCACATTTTAAGTCAAACTTTTTCGTTCTCCTTGGCTAACTTGGGTGAAGCCCCCTCCTCCAGCTGTCCAACTATTATATCTTGGGCCGCATCTTCCATTTCGTGCCCTACTTCGCCCCCATGCACCCGGCCCGCATGCTCCTCACCTTCGCCAGCCTCACTGCCGTCGTCGAGCTCCTAACCGTCGCCGGCATCGCCTACCTCTCCAACCGCGACCTGCCCGAAAAGTCCCTCGACGTAGGCTACACCCTGACCAAAGCCTCGCTCGTGCTGCAGCTCCTCGTCACGGCCGTCTTCTTCCTCATGGCAGGCATCTTCCACCGCTGCTGCCGCGCCGGCGGCATCAAGAACCTCCGCGTGATGCGGCCCGTGGTGATCTCCTACGCCAGTATGCTCCTCCTCTTTGGGCGCACCGTATTCCGCTGCGTGGAGCAGTTTAGCGTGCCGCCGTCGAGGAAGGGCGACATCGACTCGTTCAGCCTGAGCCCTGTCGTGCGATACGAGTGGTACTTTTACGTCTTTGATGCGGCTCTGGTGCTCGTCGCCACGGTGGTGTGGAACGCCGGGCATCCGGGCCGCTTCCTGCCTGCTGATCCTCGGGCGTATCTTGCGCAAGACGGCACGACGGTGCTCAAGGGCCCCGAGTGGAAGGACTCGCGATCGTTGACTGAGACGTTCTTTAACCCGTTTGCGATGCTAACCACGAGGGGCGGGCACCAGAAGCAGTTTTGGGAGAGTAATGGGTATGCATTGAGGACGACGAGGAGGGGCGCTGGGGTGGCTTGAGACGGGGAGCCGTGTTAAGGTTCAAGTTGTTGGAGATCTGAAGGTTAGGAGATATTGTACCGGAATATGCACCAACAAAAGCGGCTGAAATAACTGACTTACCCTCTTACGGGTGTAATAAACAGGCGGAAGTACCTACCTAACGAAATGTTCTTGTTGATCGTTTGGAAGTCTGGGAATAAGCTGCAGGTAGAGGCCGGCGAAGCAGACAGTTTCATCGCCCCAAAAGATTTCATTCAGCTGCTCCATGAAGAGGTGATGGACAAATGGGGTGATCGGTATTGCTGTTCCAAGAATAAATGATGTTCTTTGGTTGTTCTTCGCTCCAGGGTCTAAACCACCGTGGAAGCAGCAGGGCCAGTGTCCGGGAATCCCCACATGTCCGAACGCAGGACACTGCTCTTGCTTATGTTCGCTGCCACCATCCTTCCCAAATGGAGTGAGCCGGTGCGAAACCGAATCTTTACCTTCCACATTACCACACCTATGCTCACAGGGGCAGTGGCGCCCCGGCGAAAAACCGTAGGTCTAGTTACATGTAAGCACCTTCAAAGAGCCGTCCGCCTCCATCAACAATCCCATCCATCAAACTCACTGGACTCTTCTCCAACCACGTCGTGGTCATTCTACAAGCACTCGGCACACCGGAACATTACCCGTCAGACAATGGCCTCCAACTTGGATGCAGCCTCCCTTTTCCGAGTCGACGGCATAGTGGCCGTGGTGACGGGCGGAGGCACAGGTAAGGCATGACCTCTCGATCGTGCGCTTCTTTTCAAGAACCCGTCCATTGACCTCCCCAGGAATCGGCCTCACCATGGCCCGCGCCCTCGCCATCAACGGCGCCAAACGAGTCTACCTCCTCGGCCGACGCCTCAACATCCTCGAAGAAGCCGCCAACCTCCATCCGACCATCTTCACACCAATCCAATGCGACGTGACCTCCCACGCCTCGCTGCAAGCCGCCGTGGACAGCATAGGGTCCGAGACCGGCTACATCAACCTGCTCATCGCCAATAGTGGTATCACCGGCCCGCACGAGCGATGGGACCCGTCCCTCCCGCTCTCGGAGGTCCGGTCCAATCTCTTCAGCCAAGCGGCCATGGACGCGACGACCTCGACCTTCCACGTAAACACGACAGGCGCCTTGTTCACCATGGTGGCCTTCCTGGGGCTTCTCGACGCAGGCAACAAGCGCGCAATACAAGGAGGGCTTGAAAGCAACGAGTTTGGCGCGCCGCTACTCCCGAGCAGCGACGTGCCCTCGATCCAGAGCCAGGTGATTGTCGTGAGCAGCATATCGGCGTACAGCCGCATGGCCATGTCGGCGCCGGCGTATGCGGGCAGCAAGGTGGCGATCTTGCATCTGACGAAGCAGGCCAGCTCGAACCTGGCGGGGTATGGGATCAGGGCGAACGCCCTTGCGCCGGGCTGTAAGTCACTCGGCATTCTGGTTGAGTGGCCGAGAGAGTGATTAACAAGAACGGATCATGCTGATGAGTTGTCGCAGTGTTTCCCACGGAATTGGCCAGTGTTCTGATTGGTGGCCGCGATCCCGGCACTGAGACCCACGATGACCCGCTGTTCATCCCGTCGCGGAGGTTTGGCGGCGAGGAGGAGATGGCCGGAACGCTGTTGTATCTCGCTAGCCGCGCCGGGGCGTACTGCAACGGGACAGTGCTGATGATGGATGGTGGACGACTGGGCGTGATGCAGTCGTCCTATTAGCATATTGTGTCTCGAAAAATTCGGGAGACACCGGAACGCTGATGGTGAGCCGGAATACTTTGGCAGGATTTCAAACGGTACCCGACTCAGACTCTCCCTGAGATACGTACACAGTTCCATCCTGAACTCCTGCTGACCGAGTGATTACCATGCTTATGATCTTACATAGCTTTAATATACTCCTGCTCCGCCGCTCCGGCCTTGCTCTCGGGATTCAGGTTCCTCTTGGCCGGACCGTTGATGCAGATACCGTCTTTGGAAAACCGGCTGCCATGAACAGGGCAGTCGAAACTCTTTTCAGCATCATTCCAGGAAACCACCCCGTGCAAATGCGGGCAAATGGCGCTGAACTTTCGCACCGTGCCATCCTCGTCCTTGTAGACTGCCAGTGGTTTGCCGGTAGCCTAGATTTCACCAGGGTTAGCCCCTCGACTTCCGGACGAAAGATGGGAGTGGGAATTAACTCACCGGGTTCAGCACACCGCCGCACCCAGGCGCCAGATCCTCGATATCGGTGATATCCGACTGCAAAAACCGCTTGTACTGCGTGTTGATCTGCAAATCATGCTTGACCAGACTCGGCAGCGTTTTGAGGACGCTGCCCAGACGCTTCGGGTTGTACAGGGACGCCCATTTGTTCTCCTTGCCCTCAATCTCATCGGCAAGCAGCCGGCCAGCCAGCACGCCATGCGTCAAGCCATCTCCAGAGTCGCCGGTGACAATGTAAATCTTGTCGTTGCCCTGGTTCTTGCCGATGAACGCCATGTAATCGACCGGGTCAAAAATCTGCCCGCTCCAGCGGTAGTCGACGGTGCCGGCCTGGGTAAACCTCTCGCGCGTCCACTTCTCAAGCTCCGCAAACCGCGGTGTCGTCTCCTCCTGCCCAACCTTGTGGTCGCACCCGCCCACGACGAGATAGTCGTCCTTCTCATCACATTCGGTCAGCCGGACGTACTTGTACGCGTCGGCGTTGTCGTAGATCAGGCAGTCCTCGACGCTGCCCTTGGGGACGCGCACGGCAATGCAGTATGTGCGGTGGAACTCGAGCTCGGCGATGACCGACAGTTTCTGCAGCGGGACGCACGTCGCCTCGATGGCGCGCTCGGCCTTCACCGTGTGTCCCGCCTCGGTCTCGATCGTGACCGACTTGTGGCCCATGCCGAGCAGCTCAACGCCCGTTTCCTTGATGCTCATGACACGGGTGCGCGTGTAGCACTGGAAGTTGGGCTGCTGCTTCAGCCACGCCAGTACACCCGCCAGGTACCGGGTCGGGTGGAAGGTCGCCTGGTTCCCGACGACCATGCCGCCGCGCTGGTCGGGCTTGCCGTTCCAGCCGCGGACAGTCAAGTTTTCCTGTTCGCGTCAGCTTAACCCTCTTCCTCTGTCTCTGACTCAGAAGAAAGGAACACACATCAAACCTCGTCTCAATCCCCAACTTCATCTGCACCTCCGCCTCCTGCCTCAACTCCTCCATCTCCTCCTTATACCCCTGACTTCCCACCGCATACTGACTGATATCATACGCCTTCAACTTCCGATACTCGCACTCAATCCCCAATTCCTTCGCAATCTCCCCAATCCGATCCCTCGCCCAGGCATGGCTCTCCGCCGCGACCTTGGCCCCAGCCTCGCCGTGCTTCTTGGCAATTTCCAGATACCCGTCATCCAGATCATTGTTCAGGTGCCCGCTCGTACGACCGGACTCGCCAGACAGCGCTTCGCGCGCTTCGAGCATCACCACCTTATGGCCGCGGTGGATGAGTTCGTAGGCGACATGGATGCCTGCGATGCCGCACCCGATAACGCAAATGTCGGTGGTGAGGTTCCGGTCGAGGGACGGGAATTGCGGGATAGCCGAGTAGGGCAGCTTGTGCACCCAGACCGGGTCGGTGGCGCCCGAGGTGTGCATGCATTTTTCGGAATCCGGCATGGAAGGGTTGGGGGTGGTGATGGTGGCCATTTTGAGGGTTGGGGTGGCTGAGATGGGGCTGGGGAGGGTGTTAGTGGTGTCATGGGTTAAGTGGTAATGGGTCCAGGGTGACTTACCGAGGGTGTGAGAAGGATGGAATTCTTGACCAGTCTTGGGTGCCCGTCCTCTGAACTCGCAGTGGCGAGCGTTGTTCAAATCGACCGGGTGACTGGGAGAATGCGTGAGAGAACGTGCGACTCCCACTGACCAAGTTATATGAAAGGAGTCGCAATGCGCGGGTTGGACTGGTTGGTATGTAAGTGACGTCACTGATACTAAACAGTCGAGTTAGGTGTCTTGAGCCTCGAAGCAGCTTCCCGCCCGTGAATCTCGATGTTTGCGTCGAGGAGGAAATGGACAATGCCATTGGCCGGAATGAGGAAATTTCACTACTGCGAGGTCGGGGACTAAAGCAGTGAATCGCGAGGTCGATAGAAAGAGAAAGTGGAAGAGTTAAGGTATCGGTGCGATTGTTTCCTCGATCTTGTAATTCACGAAGCTTACAGTTTAATACTGCCCAAGCCCCGGCGCTCCCCGCATGTATGACGACACGATTACCTCCGCCCCAAACCTGGAAGTAAACGATTCCGAACAGAAACAGCAGCACGGAACAACAACACGAACATGCCGGCGAAGGTCCATACCCGAGTAAAGAGCAGATGGCTCGAAACATGCTCTCGCGCCAACCGAAACAGGGCTCTTTGGATCGGATAATAAAGAACAGTGTCCGACGGCCTGCATCTTGCAGGACACTTATAAGGACTTCGAATAATGATTTGTCTAGGCTGTCTGAGTCTCGGTACCTGCAGGCCTGCTTCCGTTTAACACTTGACCTTGCTCCCAATCGGTCTTTTTACGCTCCGGACACTCAAAAGGGCACGACGCCTTCAAAGACGACAAATGAACTTCATCGCTCGCCCCAAGGTGCTCGCCAAGGTGGAACTTCCACCGTTGAAAGTGCCCCTGTTGAACAGTGCAACATAATTAAGGTCCGTGCCACAATCCAATTTCCCAGGTTGTACGATTAAATGGGGTTTCCTTTCTCCCTCTGGCTTCAAAGAGCCACAAAGTAAGCGAACTCATTTTCTCCATTGTCACTCGTTTATCAAGCCTGGGCCCATCATCCATGATGCACTCGTTCACGGTCTTTTCCACTCTCGCGGTCGCGTCTCTCATTCTCGCCAAGCCACTCGCGACTCCGGCCGTCGCGCCGTTGATCACTGCCGCGCCCCTACCCCACATGGTCAAACCTGCCCTGGAGCGCCGCCAGACTGAGAGCCTCGACGAATGTGAGGCCAAGGCACGGAGTTTTTGGGACGATGCCCCCGACATCGAATACTTTGGTGACCCCTTGGCCTTATGGTGGCAGACACTGGGCGAAAGAGTTCATACGGCCACCCTGTACAACGACGCGGTTTGGACCATCAGTGAATTATGCTCCATCACTTATCTAGCTACCTCCGAGATTCCCGAATCCCTCACCTCCGCCTACGCCTCGCTCATGAGCGCGTCCGCGTCTTGGGTGAGCGAATTCGGGCCGACCGTCACGAGCGTAGCCCAGAGCTGCGGCGGGGCTGGCCGCGGCGCGCTGAGCGCCGGGCTCGAGGTTTTGCTCGCCACCAATTTCGACGAATGCACCTCCGCCTACGGGGTGTACATGTCCGAGGCACTAGCTCTGGCTGCCAGCGTCAGCTCGGCATCCCACGCCGCCACCGCCTCGCCCACGGCGACGCCGAGACCGGCGCAGACCGGCAGCACGAGTGTACGCCCGATCGAGACTGCGTCTAGCAGCAGCAGCCAGGCGGCCAACACGACGCCGAGCAGCTCGCAGTCGACTGGCGGTGCGCCAAGGGAGACGGGTTTTGCTGTTGCCGCTGCGGCCGCTGTGGTGGTGGTTGCTGGTGGCATGGTAGCGCTGTGAAGCATAGAGAATGGACAGCTAAACGGTTGTTGGGATGGATGTGCAGGGCACATCCCATGTATATATACATGACCTCAGGCGCTAATAGGGTCTTCGCTCCATGAAGCTTGGTAGAACAGCGTTCTGTGGATTGGACGGAGAAGGGAAAGGCTATCCAAAAGTGAGAAGCACCGATTGCGGAATTGAACGCCTGATCTTAGTATCCTTCTCCTGACAGCTGGTCAACCCCACCGGACTCTTCCAGAAGCAAGGAGAAAGGGAAAGGTGAGACCTGTTTGGGCCCATGACACACAACACTGAGACAAGTCGGCTGTTTGTCTCGGGGAGATGCAGCCCCGAGGGTGGCTTATTATCTTTGTCATGGTTGGAGCGAGCACAAGTAATGCAAAAATCTCAGTGATAGTTGATCGAAACTGCTTGGTGCCATTCAGTCCTGGCCTCGGATCGAAGGCTTAACTGCTGGCTTGAAATCCTCTCCACCAGATCTGCTCTTCACCCTCACCAGCCTAACGTTCATCAAGAATACCACCGAGATTTGAGTTGCTTAGTATTAAGGTATTGTTCATTCTGATAAGAAGCAAACCGATGACCCAAGCCGGCTTTAATGCCAAGGAGCTCTAAGGCCTGGATACTTGTTTTGAGGGTTGTGAGCGTCCAAGGCAGCGGGCAAAGCGAAGGGACGGGTAACTTTACACGACGGCAAGAAGCCCTCCGGAGGCCTGCCCACCTCATAGCGGTACGATTTCCTGGTGGGCTTGCCACTTAACAACTGGCACCAGAGAACTGCCCAAAGGCAGCGATCCATCACGGACTGGCGCGAAGGGCTTGGTAAATGACCTGGTCTCAGTTCTCATCCTGTGCATGATCCTTCGCGAACGGAGGTCTATGTTGATTGTGAGTCTCCGAAGGCCTCGCACAGGATAATCTCACGGAGCTCTCGGGTGAGGCTGGATATCGGGGACTGGCTCTCCGCGGCAGAGCCGTGGCATTCCGAGGGTGGGGGTTCTGAGGTCTATGCAGCGCCGGGAGCATGGGGTACCGGGTATGGGATGTAATAGACCATGCCAATAAAAGCGCATGCACCTTCTTGGAAAAGAATGTTTGTCGCTGCCGCGGTACAAGGTCAATATCCGACGCAGCTCCCGCGCGTAACTTGGGAGCATGAAATGCTGTCAGGAGATTGGACGGGAAGTTGGGCGCTGAATAGGCGGATTATGGTTGATCCGAACCCGCCCACCAAGGATCGGTCAAGGGTTACCCGAGCCGCAGCGCTTGAGATTCGGTCGTTACCTTAAGTACTGTAATGTGAAGACCCTTTGCTGGGAAGCAGCGTTGCCCTGCTTCCGCCCGGAGAATCATCCAGTTCCCCTGCATTTTTCTAGTTCACAAATTCATAACCCAAGCGGGGGCCGACAATTTCGCATGACTTTTCATCTTAAAGTGCTTTTCAGGTTCTTCGTCTTAACTACGCCCTAGCCTTGGCCTGACGAAGTCCAATTCAGGGGTAAATACACCCGGCGTAACCAGGGCAACCGCCCCTATCCCAGGCTCCACCGGCAAAGATTGAGGTATGTCTGAGTGGAAGACCCCTTCCCAGGCGGCGGGCAACGGTCGCGGTCAAGTGCAGCTCGCCGCAGAAGTTGATTCAAAGGAAATATTCAGGATCCCTCACGAGACATGTTGCCGACAAGTTTCCGGGTTGTGTTGGATCTTGGAATACTCGTGTTGGAAAGTCGTGGCACTGGAAACTGGGACGGTCAGCTGCAAGTGCCCTGCTTCTGGATGCATGGTTGCCCAACTGAGCGTCAGGCAACGTGAGGGGTAACCAGGGCGTTGGGCAACGAGGTCAGGGCGATTTCCCCTTCGTTGGAGACGTGAGAAAAGAACAACCTTCAATTAAGAACATCTGGGATGCTCCAAGTATCTCAGAACCCACTGTTGTAAACTCCCATCATCTGTGTGATCACCGTGGGATCGTGGCTGTTGGTCTTCCAACAACTCGACAAAGACAGCTCCTGTCCCGTGTGCCGGCACTTTCACACCAAAAGATGCCTAACACAGGAATCTATGCATGCGGTATTCCCCGCAGGCAGACAGAAGCTAGCGTATTTTTCGTGACGCCGTTCTGCCCAACCGGAGCAATGTGGGAGGTGTAGAAAACAGTTAATTTGGTCTTGGAATAGGGATTTCGTCGACCCCCTCTTATGACACCATTCGCGGCGGATGACTCGGACACCGTCGTGGTGGCTCAGCCCCTGCACTTACCCGAGCACCAGCATCCCAAGGCAAACCACCGGAACTTCCGCCGTCTCCTGAGATTTGAACGCGGTATGAATCAGGTATCTAAGACGCAAGACCAAGATGCTTCACTAAACCCTGCCAGCCAATCTAATCCCCCAACCCAAATAACGAGTCCCCAAACGCAATCAGGTCGAGTCCGGCTTGGCCATCCTCTCCATCCAGTCCCCTCCATCCCTCTCAAATCCCACATCCATCCCCCTCCCCATCCCTTTCCTTCTCCGCACCGGTCTCCCTTTCCTTCCAGCCTTCCTCTCCATCATGTTCTTTCAGCTGTTGCCCCTTGCCCTGACCCTGCCGCTGTCGAACCTGTCCGCCGTCACCCCGTCGCGCCGCATAAGGGAGGGGAATGATAGCCCTGTCAACAAACCCCTGCAGGTAACTCAGTAAACCGTCCAATACACCCATCCCGATTCGCCAGCTCCTCTTTCAGCGCCTCCACCTCGTTGCTCAGCCGCGCGACCTGGGTGTGGAGCTCCTTGAGTTGCTCGTCTTGTGCTGCGCGCTCCGTTTGCAGGGCGCTGTTGGCCGAGGCCAAGTCGGTGAGACGTTGGTCGAGGGTAGCGATGGAAACTGCAGGCTGCTGGTTGGTATTCGAGGACGTAGTTGTCAAGTCTGCGAGCTGGGCTGAGAGGTTGTCGGTTTCTGCCTCAAGGGTGGTAGTCTGGGTGGTTGCGGTTGTGTGGTTGGATCGGAGGGAATTGAGGGTTGCGCGCAAGGAGCGGATTGTTGCATCGCTGGCTGTGAATGATTCTCGGAGCTCGTCGTTTCGGGCTGTCTGCTGGTCTAGATGGGTCTCAAGCTGCTGCAGTTGGTCTTTTTGGACGGCGAGATCGTCCCTGATCCGGGCCTTCTCCGTCGTGAGGGTCGAGATGGTCTTTTGCAGCTGTTGAATTTGAGCTTCCTTCGTAGTGATAATGACCTCGTTGCGGCTAAGAAGGGCGCTGCGCTCCCGCATTTCCTTACGATGGGTAGCAAGCTCGGTTTCGAGCTTGGTAGCGTCCGCCTGCAGCTTCGCTGCGTTGTCCCGCAGTGCCTGGACTTCGTCCGCCTTCGCCCTCACCAGCTCACGCTTCTTCCAGAGCTCCTCCTTCACTCTCTTGGCCCTATCTCGCTCAATCTCAATTTCTGTGTCCATACGTTCCTTCGCCGTAGCCCAACTCTGCTTCTCACCCCGGAGCCCTGCTACTACCTTCTCAAGTTCCAAGACCATGCCTCTGCAATGGTCAAGTTGCTGTTGTAACGCAACGTTCTCTGCACAGGTAGCAGTCAACCGCTGGTTCTCATCCTTCACCTCCTTGTAGGCATTCACCAGCTTTGCGTAGCGAATCTGCTGGGCCTCCATCTCCTTCAGGCGCTCCTGTCTTTCCTTTAGCATGGCACAACGCTCGCGCTCGAGGCGACTGATGGTCTCTTGAGTATGGGCGGGGACTTCCTGTTCGGCTCGGGCAAGCTGGTGTTGAAAATCAGCAATGGTGGTATTCGCACTGCGCTCAATAACATCAAGGCGATCCTTGAATTTTGCACAGGCGTTCTCGGCTGCAGTGCGCGCTTCAATAGCCGCGGCTGCTGCGGCCCTTGCTTCGAAGAGCGCCCGGGTCAGATGCTGAATGCGGTCTTCATAATCCTGGATCCTTTTCGTGGATGCCTGATGCCGGACCGTAAGCTCCTGGAGCTGGGCATCCTTATCCTCATTGTTAACCGGAGAGGCTGGCGAGGGCACAGAATTGCCCAGAGATGCCTGGCACTCCTGGTTCTTGTACTCCCTCTCATTGTTCCCGTTCAAGGCAGACTGGAGATGGATCTCGAGGTCTTTGTAAGCCGCATCCATGGTCTGCTTTTCCCCTGCAAGCTTCTGGACCTGACACTGAAGCGGCGCCGTTTGGGCAGCCAAGTCAGCCTGATATGAGGCGTTCTTTTGCTCTAACATGCCCTGGAGTTGAGAGAGTCGATGGCGCAGATTGTCAATCTCGGAAGAGAGGGACGCATGTCGCTTCGGATTCTGTGCCGGTGTGGAGGGCTCGAGGTCACTGAACGACCTCTTTCTGTCGACCTGGATAGCTCCATTGTCCTCGGACTCGTCATCGGAAAGCACGATAGCAGTCTCGATAGTGTTGCTTCTGGGCTTCTTCGGTCTGCCCCGGCCCCTCTTGACCGCCGGTGTCGCTGACGCTCGGGTCTTCCTGTTGGATCTCATCGTTTCGGCTTCGGTGTTCTGTAATCAGGAGGGAACATGAATCAACTGAGAACAGTCTCGTTCTAGGGGCCACGAGGAATGGGCGGCCGATCTGCCTGCAGTGTGTGCCATCCAGAAGCAGCCTGAGGTGATTTCTGCGGCCGGGTGCATCGTACTTACCTTTATTGGAGTTGAATTAGCGATTCTGGAATGGCCAACAACGATGCACGATTCTACGTCGTCATCGACATCGACTGCGAGAGTCGCCATGGCAGGTAAGGCCCTCCCGTCAGCCGAAGAAGAGTAGATCGGTGTAGAAGCAAGTGCTGAGTGAATCGCCGCCGTTCAAAAAATTTCGGGGCCAGCAATTGAAGTCCGAGGTGGGTTGTCGGTTTTCAAAAGGAAACACCGGATGAAGAAATCGGCGATGCCTGAATCTAGTGCCTATCGCCAAACTGATGCGAAGACAACCAGCTTCTGTGGGCGAAAAACTTAAACTCTGCGGTTCTGAGATGCCTTCGTGGTTTCTAAGTAGCCCAAATCTAGCGTGGACTCATTGCAAGACAGCTCTCAAAGCCTGCTGTCCCCTGCTTAGCAAGGTGTTGTGAACACTTCGCCTTGAAAAGCTGGACGATGGAGAGAAATGGAAAGGTTCCAGGAAAGCTCCGAGTCTCGTCGGCTACCTGCAAACAGAGGAGAAGAACTGGAACCTGGAAGAATCTGACATTTGAACTGTTTATTCATTAGATTTTGATGGTAAAAGATAGCCATATTTGAGGTGTCGAAACTGTGCTCTTGCTTCCACTTTGTGTGAATCCCTCTTGTTCATTCATTCACATCTTTCCAGAGGCTCAGCCATGCCAGAACTTGATGAACACAGCGCCGACGATGAGCCTGCTGGGCTGGCAACCATGCCCTTCGACATCTCGCGCCTGATCGTGTGGATGGGAACCTCTCCCAGGCCGACGTTGCAGCGCTACGCTTAACATGCCGCGCTCTCGCCAATGTCGCTGTCACTCGGCGCTTCTACCGCATCGCCGTCTCCTAACTCAACCCTGGCCCGAAGCGTTTCTCCCAATCTGCCACAGGCACAACTTTGATCGCATGTGTACGAGGTGGTCTGACTGGAGTTGACCTGGGATGTCGAGCTATTCGACCGCATCTCCTCCATGTCTCCATTGAGCGTGACTGTGACAGCCAGGCGAGCAAAACCATTGAGCTTCTCCTCAGGATGTATTGTACATCATAAAGGCAGGTCGGTTCGAGTAAGCCAAGTTGGCAACTCAGGGCTCGAAAATGTTGCCGCCATACGAGGAGAGGCAATACTACAGGTCTGAGCTGACGTGGAGCCCGGCATACAAACCAATTAGGTCATCGATCTTGACGCGCTTGTTCATCTCGTCCATTCCGTCCTCCTCCAGTCTCCGCCCCTCCAAGAAATACTCACCCTTCCCTCGACCCTCTATCCCGCTTAAGATCACATGGTCCGCCCTCACCACCATACAAAAGTATCCGCCCTTCTCCCTCGCCCTCACGTCGTCTACTACGCTCTCCAGGCTCTCCTCGTCGACGTGCAAGAAGCAACCGTGCCTCGGCGTGTCAGGAGGGTATGGCGAGAACACACTGAGCTCCCGGCCGCCCGGCCCCCGTTCCACCCAGTCGACGAACCGGCGGCTCGTCTCGACCATGTCAGCGCCGTCGACCGCGGCCGGTCCTCGAAGACGGTCCAGCGCATGCAAGCGTAGGCGTCCATCAGCCCGGCCTTCTCGAAGCAGTCGCGGGCGTGCCCTCGAGCAAGGGCGGCAAACTTGTCCCACTTCTCCTGAGATCGGTAGGTGCAAGGGAACAGGACAAAGCCCCAGTCGTTGAGCTTGTACAGATCGAGGGCGTCCTTGATTGTGTGGGCATCGCCGAGTGGGGACGCGACAAGCCTGCGCGTGAACTCAGGCTCGTCTCTGGGACGTGATCGTGCCTCCGTGTTCTGCATTGCAGCGGCTGGGAGCGGAGCTGTGGGATCGGGGTGCGGCTTCGTTGAGAAGAATGCCGGAGCCAGAGCCGGAGCTTGCACGTGAGGAGGAATGAGCTGCCGCGGGATCTTGGTGATATAGGCACCGGGAACAAGGCCACGAACGCGCTGCATCCGCGCTATCAGCGCGCGCGGGAATTTGGAAGCCATGGAATCGGGGCTTGGCTGGCACTGGACGCGTCTAGTCAGTTGAGGTCTGGCGTCGGGATCTCGTATCGGCTATATTCAGGCTGAGTGGGAATCGCTGGCTACATAAGTACAGTAGGTCAACCCCCTACACAATAAAGCTAGCGTCATTTTGCCTAAGGCACGAATAGCTACGTGTCTTTTCTGCCGGAAGAAAAGCACACAGTTTCGATTTCGTTTTCCTGGAAAACGTCCAGTTGCGCTTAGAGCCTCAAAGGTGAACATACCCGTAAAGCAACAGAATCGTAATTTGATGCACTAAGTTACCCATTTAGCAGTTCTTTTATATACGCCGATCCCCCTTTGCAATCGTAGCTTTTTCTTCGTTCTCGACAGGCTTATATCGTAAAATCGGAGAATCATATTCTGACTCGAGTTGTCGTGTAAAAAGACTTGTAAACGGAGGCTCCGAGAGGCCTATACGGACTAGGCTTTTTCTTCCGGGAGGAAGCTTCATGCTGGCTATCGTGCTGGCAATCCGGCTGGCTATTGTGCTTGCGTTCAAGTATCTCCTTTCTTATCTCCATATCGCCCACTGTTACTAAAAGCAATATAGGAATAACCATCTCCAACATCGTTATTGTGACGAATGTCAAGCCCCAACTCTTGAAAGGGACTCCTGAAGGTTATACTTGGCAACGGGGTGAGGTTTCGGTGAAGCCAAAGGGTTTATGTCACGAATATGGCCGTATGCAGAAATCTGGTGGGGGCGCGAGGGGAGCGTCCCGAGCCAATCATTTAGAACAGGGGTATAGCCAATCACGACGGGAGCGCGAAGTCAAGCATTCGCTCCATGGAAGGAGCGATGGGAGCGACGAGCGCTCCCAGCGGACCAGGAGCGACAGGAGCGAACTTCGCTCCTACGCTCCTAAGGACAGTAGGAGAGGAAGCTGTATATAGTTCACGATCCCCAGAGCCTACGGGCATCACAGTAGCTTCCTCAGTAAGCAATACAAGCAGTCAGCCATATCTACTGTTGAGACCATTGCTTGCGCACTTGTTGTGAACCCTTTGGCTTCACCGAACCTCACCCCGTTGTCACTTATAACCTTCAGGAGTCCCTTTCAGAAGTTGGGGCTTTGAGATTCGTCACACGACATCTTGTTGGAAGACCAACAGCCACGATTCCACGGTGTTACGCTTCATGGGAGCATTTAAAACAGTGAACTCTTCGAGTGCCCGGGACCAGCCCAGAATCTGTCAATTTGAGGGTTTTGTCCTTCTCCTTCTCCAAGTTGCCTGGGTGCCTCCTAGACCTTATGTAACAGCTGTGTATTACCCCTGACCAGGGACGATACCGGCAACCCAGTTCCCGAGTTTCAAGTGCCATCACTTCCAACAAATTGAAGGATATAAAATGAAGGAAGATATGAAGACAACTTAGTAACTGAAGTTAGGGTTCTATATGGCGGGTACTTTCAGAGGGTTACTGTACCTTAAGATAGTGCTGACTAAGGCCGGGCTGGAAGGAACTTGGCGAAGTGCTGAGAAGCAGCGGAGTTGAGCTAGCAGCCTGAGGCAACAAGATTGCCGTGGTTTCCGAGGTAGAAAACCGCTGGATGCGGCGGCAGATGCAAGTGGAAGAAGATTTCTATTGTTTTGTCGCCTAATCCCACGGCATGATTCCCACTTCTCACCGGCTATCCTTCAATGCAGGCTGCTGGGCCATCACGCTTCTAAAAAGTCACAGCTCCGAAGACATGGACTCGGCCAAGGCCTGTTCCGCTGCTTGGAACTCGTCGTGGCGGAACAGGACCTCTCTGAAGGGCTTGCTGTATGGCATGGCGCCGAGAGGCGGAAGTGGACCAGAGTAGAATTTTCGTACTCCCTCTTCGAAGCCGGGTACCTTTGTCCATTCCGGGCCGGCATTGGACGCCAACATGGTGAGGTTACACCGCGGGATGCGCAACCTGTCGAACAATTCCATGCGCTGTTTCATGGCTGGGCCGTCCTTGCCATCCACCCCTCGAAACAGGACTTCCAACGACGCAGCAGACTCAATGGCGACACCGGCACCGGCGGCGTGGGTAGGCAGCATGACGTGGGCTGCGTCGCCGACCACGGCGGTACGGCCGCGGACGAAGCTGGTCAGGGGCGGCCTCTTGTACAGATGGTGAACCTTGATGCCGTCCTCGCTGGCCATGGTAACGATCTTCTTCATGGACGGGTGGAAGTTTTGGACCATGGTGAGTACCTGTGACTTGGAGACGGGCGAATGCCATAGGTTCTCAGCGTCTCCTTCGTCTTCATCCACCTGCGTGTCGTGCAAAACGGCGCTGTTCAGCATCTTGCCTCCTCGGCAGGTGTAGGTGACCCAAAAGACCTTCTTGTTCGGATCATGCCACCCCGTAAAGCCGGGTAGCTCCCTAGTGTACAGCCCCCGCAGGGCCGGTTCTGCCATGACCTCATCCGCTGAAACAAGCCAGCGGTAGATGGAGCGGCCGGTGCGGTGCGTTTCGGAGGGTCGCCCCGTGAAGTCGGATATCAAGCGGCTCTGGGTAGGCAGTCCACATGGTCAGTATTATGGCAAGGTTAAGCAACCCCGGTGTTATTGTCATGCTCACTCACATGAGCTCCATCAGCAATGATGACGAGATCCTTTGCGATGGCGCGACCATCAGCCAACTTCAAGATGCCTTCTTCGCAGTTCACGCCCGTCACCTCACATCCCAAGCGCATGTCGACTGGTGGGCCAATATCAATGTCCTCGAAGGCGGCGGGACGCGTGGCAAGATCCCTCAGGCCACGATGCAGGTCGACGCGATGGAAGAACCAGGAGCCGTGCCCGAACCAGCTGGCCATGTCTGCGTAATCCTCGGACTGCACGAAGGTAGTGGGTTCGTTGGCGAGAGTGATACAGAGGGACTGGTTGAGCACCGGCGCCGCCTTTTCCATGTCGAACCCCCAGCGGTCCAAGACAAGGGTCGCGTTGGGCGTCACGGTAATGGCGGCGCCAATCTCGTTTCTGAACTGCGACTTCTCGAATACCTCGACGTGCCATCCCGCACGGCGCAGGCCGATGGCTGCCGAGAGTCCCGCGATGCCTGCGCCGACTACTCCAGCATGTCCTCTATTCTCGTGGGCGTCCATCGTTGGGAAGAGTTGTAGTCGATGTGGAATGGGCGAGTTTCGAGTCGTTGCTTTTCGACTGCCTCAACTCAGCACTCACTTACTCCGTGTTACCGTGTGAAAGGCTTTTCAGCTTTGGGTTTGATCTGGGAAGAGGACTCATACCTTGGAATGGTCGAGAGCCGAAATCTCGTAGGTTGCCGCGAATGTCGAATTCGTGGCTTGATGATGCCGCAGTGTTCCTTCCCCACCTGCTCCTCCCGGGGTGTCCAGATGCAGGAGGGTTACACGGTTTAAAGGTTTTGGATGGCGCATCATGGATGCAGCGGAGTTTTTACCTGTGGCAACGGCAGGAGCTTTCCGGCATCCCGTGATGGGGCACTGCCGTGCATTTCTAGAATCAAGTCCGACCTCAAAGTACAAAACATGCCGTGGACTACGGATGTTCGGTGATAGAAAATCGAAGACGGATAAACTATTTGAGTGATGTGCATTTGGTCGGCGTTTTGGTGTTGTTCAAGTGCACGCTCTCAATCTGTTCCAGCGGAGCGGAGCTGTCATGGCAGGCCTCAGTCGCGATTGGAAACAACGTGGAAGCCTTGAGTGGTCATCGCCGACAATGGCGACCGACTCGAACTTCTTGGCCAGATAGAGAAGGGCAATGGCGTTGAACCGGGTACATACAATTGCGCTCTACACGCCTTATCTGTCAGCCCCTTATTAGGCCCGCACAAGGTTGACATACAATCCAACCCTGGTTCGTTTGTTAGCCAGGCACATGGCAGGCTGTGGTTAGCAAGCGAAAAGGGGACTGCAAGGGAGAAGGAATGAAAAGTAGGAATTAGGAAGATAAAAAGAGAAGATAGGGGAGAATAAATGGAAGCAGCAAGGAACAAGAAAAGTAAGAATGTGGAAAACAAAGAGAAAGAAGAAGAGGAAGAGGAAGAGGAAGAACAGCAAGAAGAGGACGAGGAGGATGAATAGAGAAGGTTAGTTAGTTAATAATACTAACTAGAAGGTTTTGTCTTGTGCTGATACTAAGTTCCGCGCAAACAAACAAACCAGGGTTAGATTGTTAACTATAGAATAACCTCACCTTAGTTGCGACATGCTTACATCTTCCACGCTTCAATTCCAGTAGATCTCTGAAGAACCCAAGTGATTGGTGTCTGGAGCTCGAGATTAGCGACAGGATGGTCGGGGTCAAGGCCCAGTCTACAGCCGGCTTCATACCAAGGTCCTCTTGCTGGCCCTGAGATGGTTCAAGACGCGCTGTTGGGCAAAGTCACAGCCGTCCACATGAACCACCAAGTGGCACCGCTGTAGTCGGGCATCACAACCCTGCCAGGTCTCAGGCGACACCTCAATGGGTATACTCGCTCTTTCGTTTATTAGCCTGACTAGATTGCAGTTAAGAGGCTTTCGCGGTCCTAGTTACCGGAGTAAACCGTGATTCTGCTGCGCCTTTGGAGAATCTGCTACTAAGTTGGATTGCTCCTTCCACCCTTTTGCCATCATCGGCTCTATACAGATATTTCATGTTCCTTGACGACCACGCCACTTATTCGACCTGCTGAGCCTGTAGGGTGTTATCAGGAGTGGCCAACAACCCGACCCATTCAAGATCTCATTAATTTGCCTTGGCCGACATGCGTCACCACATGCGGCACAGCAAAGGCAGAAAATTCGGATTACGACAAGCATTTCCCGCATCCGCCTACGGATATAAAGGCAGGGCGCCTAGACAGACCGGTTCGGCCCGCTCTCATCCCGGCATGGCCCAACTTCCTCCCGAATTCCAGTCTCATCATCACACCTAGATATCCAAGATGTACATCGAAGCCCTCATCACCACCCTCGCGGGCGCCACTTTCGCCCTCGCCAACCTAACTCCCGCCCCTGCTCAGCCCTTAATCACCCCAGCCGCCGTCCTCCCCGTCCCCGCGCCAGGCCTCGCGCCGCGTCAGCAATTCTCCGTCACCGGCACCCGCACCAAGTCAGCGTCATGCATGCGCATGTACATGACCCTCTAGATCGACCGCCCGAGCCCCACGGGCGACCTCTTCAGCATGATGCGCAGCATCGGCGAGGCGCTGTACTTGAGCCCCACCGGCAGGGTCGACGACTCGCTCACCACCCTCTGCGTTGCCAGCGCATCCATCACGCCGCCCGCTTCGCTGAGCTCGGCGTACGAGAGGTACACGAGCGAATACTACTCGTGGGCAAGCGAGGTGGCGGACGTAGCTCATTCGATTGCAAGCGAGTGCGGGGAGACGGTGTCGGCCTTGGTGGAGTTTCTGATCGTTACGGATGCCGAGAGCTGTACCAAGGCTGTGCAGAGATTGGTGGATGTGTATGAGGATATGGTAAGTTCGGCGACGACCAGGATGAAGGCGTCGACGAGCGCGACGGCGAGTAGCGATGGGGCGGAGGCGAGTTCGATTTCTGGTACAGTGGACGAGAGTGAACAGACCGAGACGGGGCTGGCGAGGACTACAATTGCGGCGTCACAAAGTACGGGCGCAGGTGAGGGGCGGGGCACGAATGCTGCTGCAACGACGACGAGCTCGTCTACGGGTGGCGCTGCGGTGCCCAGGGAGACAAGGTTGGTCGCTACTGCGGCTGCCGTGGCGCTGGGGGTCGCCGGTGTTGTGGCGGCGCTGTAAGAAGTCTCAAGATCGAGAGAGGTTCTCCCCTCTACTTCAAAGGCTTTGATTTGGGGAGATGATGATGTGAAATGGTTATGATAAGACGGTAACGCCGCGGCATGAGCCAGATACTTAGTGGCTGGATTTAGGTTGTTGACGAGATTAGGGCGAGGGCTCGTCACCGTGGATAGATAGATGCACGACATCATCCGTACCAGTGCCTGGTTTCTCAGCCTTGCTTATCTCACGAATATATTCTCAACCTTTTCTCACTTAATGATCCGAGTTGTCTCTTGCAGTAATCCATGATCCATTCAACTAAAATACAGTAACCGTGATCTCTGAGTCAAACATCCCATGGCACACCTGCTTAAAACAGCTGCCAGACCTCATCGCTAGTTCCCTGTTTCAATCCCAGCAGAAGCTTGAAATACTTTCCGAGCAGAAATACAAAGAACTGGATTGGTAATTCTGGGAAATGCGAATCGCGTGGGTTATACCGTCCAGGGAAGTCAACCATGAGAGCGACTCGTAGCCTGGTCGAGATGAAAGCGAAGATATCCGTGACAGCGAAATTTGAATTGGATTGGATTTTGAGAGCGATAAGTTTAAATCTGCCACAATCGTCGGACGCGGCAGGCATCTCAACTGTTTCCGCCCGGAATAGACGAAGACAACTCCCCATTCCTGGCACCACTGTTGGGTAACTCAACCGAAAGCATAATTCCAAGCGTGCGCGGGACGGCGAGGCGCTAATTCCGGCGAGGGCGTAACACAGAATCAACTTCGCCATCTCCATAGCGCGCATGATGGCGGCGAAAACTACCTCTCCCTCGCTGGAGGGTCCACGGGTGTATTGGCTCGAGAGGCCTTTGTCCCAAGGCCAGAGGCGCGTGCACGGACTGATGTCGAACAACTTCTCCTTTTTGTAACTAGCGGAAGGCGAGATAAGTCATGAAGGGCCAGGCCGGTTGTCTTCGAGATCTTTGACAGTAGCACGAACCAGCCAGTCTGCGAGGGGACCAAAGGCCCTCTCCTGGGGTAGAAAAATCGCCAGAAGATCGTATGCGGCGAAGTTGTGGACGAGGTAATCAACTTCGGACGGTAGAAGGGCCCACAACCCCCCGATCACGATTAATAGTCTCCTTTGAAACTGCTGACAAGGCTGATCCCGTGATGTGATATCGGCTCGCAGAGAAAAGGGCAGATTGCATTCTCGGCTCAGAACTGCACCTAGGAGAAGCGAAGTGTAGACGGCAATGCCCCAGCGCTCTCTCCCGATGTTGCGGTCTTCCATTTCGCTTTTGATGATGTCTTCGGCTGTCTGGCTTGGATGGGTGATCGCAGGATGCTGCCAGGCCTCGTAGTACGCGCGGGGGAATTCATTGCGACGACAGTACCGATATATCGTTTCGAGGCAGCGGGCGAGATGATTAAAATTCAACGCCTCGCGCAGTTCCGTGACGCTTGGTTCTCGAAGCTCCCCGCTGAGTTGATCGGGATCAATGGTTGGGGGCAGTAGGTCCTTCTGCTCCTCTTGAATGACGAGTGCTGTAGCACGAACCTGCCACCAACGATTCGATCAGACGAACGCCAGCTCCCGGGGACAGGGTCGTGAAGTCCCAACTCGCATACAGTCATCAGAGCGCGTAAGAAACATGGGATGACCCTGGGCGTGACATGCCAAATTATGGTCGACTTATGTTTGGTCCATATTGCGCGCATTCGGCGGCAGGTCAGCGCCAATGCTATGACCTCCCGGAATGACTGACGGGCTTGGAACACGATAGAAGGATCTCGGCCGGTGTCTTGGCCAAGGCGGACTCGGAGGAGACCAACCCCGACTGGCCTGACATACTTGCTCGCCGGTCGTCAAGCGCTTCGTCGGGTGTGGTGTTGGTGGAAGGGTGTTGAAAGAACGCTCAAACGGCCTGGGCTTCGTGGTCATGGTGGTCCGATGCGGGCGGGGAACTGAAATGTAAGGGCGAAGGTGGGAAGGTGAAGGAGAGACTTGCTTTGGAGGGGAAACTGGGATCAACTCTTCCGAGTTCTCTAAGCCGAGCGTGGGAAGTCCCTAACTTACCCTACATGAAGCGCGAACCCATCGAAGAAGCTGCCAACGAAGATTATCTGGTTTGCAGCGATGCGGCGAACCAACGGCCAAGCGCGGCGGAGAGTCTCACCGGGAGTTTCTCAGACCCAAGGTAGGTACATTTCCGGGACCCAAGACTGGTCCGTTGAGGACATGGAATACCAGCGTTGAAAGAAGCTCCCACTTAACAGAATATGGCAGCCGAGCGGGATGAGCCAAGGTCCAAAAGGGACTTCGAGCTGCAGCGCTGAAGAGTTGCAAACTCGGAATGCTCACGGGAAGGACTTGGTGAGAAAGGATAGGCGGCTCACTCTGCACTCAATAAACGTGCATTTGTCTCTCCCTACTGCATGTCAACCTGAACCTCAAGCTCCTCAGATGTACGAATTTGGGGCGGTTAGGGAGATGGTACGGGCGATACAGCTACGTCTGGGTCTGTGACACTGTCGCTTGAGTAGTAATCTCATGCTAATCGAGACCAGACCTCCCCACCAACTAAGGTATCCTATCAAGTATCAACTTGTCCCAATCTCCCCATTCCCATTTCCAGTTCCTTCAAGACGTTCACAATTCTGGGCATTTACCTGCCTCAATAATCTTTCTTGTGATCTGCCCTTGTCGGGCCAACGGTTCCAGACGCGCTCAGCCATCATCACGCTCACCCACCATGGGGCGTTACTTAGACCTTCGGCGCATCTGTCAGCGGCACATACCTCACCCCAAACATCTTCCTCCTCGTCACCGCCCCCTTCTCATCCTTATCCACACACCAAATATGCTGACTCCACCCTCCCTGGTCATCATCAACGGGGATGAACATCCTCCCGGGCGCATTCAACTGCTCCAGCAGCGGACCATGCACCTCTGCCGCCGCCGCCCCGACATGAATCGCATCCCACTTCTTCTCCTCCTCCCCCTCCTCCACCCACCCCTTCCTCCCATCCCCAACCCTGAACCTCACCCGCCCACTCTCCAGAAACTCTTTACCGCCCGCCGACTTGGCCATATTCTGCTCGCCCAGATCCCGCAGCGGTTTAATATGCTCGACCCCGATGACAGTCCCCTGCGGGCCGACCAGCTCGGCCATGACGTGCGTCAGATAGCCCGATCCGGAGCCGATATCCAGAGCGCGCGGCGCCGGGTTGGTGTCGGAGGGCGTGAGGTAGGGCAGCAGCTCCTCGACGGCCGCGGCGTGCATATGCGGGGCCGAGATGGTGGCGGCGTGGCCGATGGGCTGCGGGGAGTCCTCGTAGGGGAACGAGGGTGCATAGTGTGCGCGGTCGACCTTGTTATCAATTAGTATTGTGTATTTCATTTTTCAGATAGAACCTCGGAAGGGCCCGGGGGATATAGGGGGAAGGTACGCGGCTAACCTTCAAGAAAGCTTCTTTGACCTGCGGGTGGGTGATGAGGCTATTGCGCCAGAGATTCTCGACCAGGTCCCTGTTGGATGCCCCCGAGCTACGCCAAGCCATGTCGATCTTTGAGTGGCGAGTGCAAAGAGATGGGGATAGTGGGGTGGCGAGGAGGTTGGGGTTGGCGATGCTACACGGGCGCGACAGCGGCAGTGTACCCAAAATCAGCGGGACCAAGAGCTTGCGGTTCGCCAGTGTGGCGTGTATGGATGGATGCCGCAAAGAAATTGAGAAAACTGGTTGAGATATGATTACTTTACCAATGAGCTCATCAATTTAGTGGTTTTAATGGTATCTTCAGAATGCGATGAAGGGAGATCAGCTCCAAAAAATAAGCCGTCTGCGATGGCGGGGTGTGATGTAATGGCACGGTTGCCGACGAGGTCAAAAAATCAGCCCATCAAGTACTGTGTAGAACGGATAAGGATGGCTTCCCCGCACCCTGACCCCTCGTTGTCCATCGCCATCGGATACTGCACGTTTAATTAGCAGAACGACCTCTCAGATCGAAGCTCTGTGATCCAGGCCACACTAGCCGCGATCGAGAAGTCTGCTGCATTTAGAGTAATGAAATATGAACATGCTGTGTGTGTGAGCTGAGTTCCGAAACATTTGGAGACACCTTCCTTTCCCAGTGCTGTTACCACAAAACTCCGGCTCCAAGACCGCTAAACCCAAGGAAACATTCTGGCAGACCCACTACACGACTCTCTCGGGATTCTCTCCGGTAGCAATGATGGGGACCCCTAGCCCCCGATCCGGGCTCTGCAACACCAGTTGCTCATGCCTCCGCACCTTCACGTAGTCGCTCACCGCTCGAATCAGTATGAACCAGCCCACAATCATGAGGATGTACGCCGCCCAGTCGGTGCCCGTGATATCGTCGCTTCCACCGGACGGGTCGACCTCGTCCGGGTTGAAGTTGTGGGAGTTCGGATCGGCCGGATTTATGTAGCCTTCGCCCTCTAGATGCGAATGTGCGCTTCCGCCAGAGCCGGAGCCGGGCGGCGTGCTCCTCATGTAGAACCCGTACTGGATCAGCGTGATGCCGAGGCCCGCCCGCGAGCCGTTTTTGGCCGCGTGCGTCGAGTGCAGCAGGTAGGTGAGCAAAAAGCCGACGAGCTGGAAAGCCATCGAGATCATGCCGTTCCAGATGAAGCCGAAGAAGGAGCCCACGGGCAAGCCGTCGATGTAGACGTCGTCGGGGCCGCCGAGGCCGGGTGCGAGGATCGTCGTCTCCCAATATGGAGGGGCCTGGTCGGCTGCTGCTTGTTCGTAGGACTAGAAAGCATTAGCCCAACTCTGCCACCGTGTCGTTGGGTGTGACCTACCGGAGGCAGCTCCTCCTTCTCGGCATCACCCCTCTCCGGCCTGGCCGACATATTCGAGAACACGCCATCAGATTGGATGCCGCTGCCGTATACTCTCGAGGTCGTCGGCGCTACAGACACTGGCCGTTGCGGCTGCGTTGACTGTCCACCTGTTTGCGTCGATGCTTGGCTTGCCTGCGTCGTACTATTGAATGATGGCGTGGAGTTGCCGCGCACTAACCGCTGCCTGTCATCCGCCTCATCATCGCTATCGTCGCCGCCCGCATCGAACGCATCGGCAAGATCGGAGTTCACAGTATTGGATCGTTCCCTCGAAGAAGCTCGGGAGTGGAAGGACGGAGGCGGCGAATTGGGAATGGGATACGTTGAATTTGGCAAAGACGCATTTGGTGTTTCGGGTTCGTCCACGTCGTGGGCGTTTACCTGCAAGCTGTCAGTCCACGTCCGTGGATGTTCAATGCGCATGCCGCGACTGGGGGAAGCCTTACCCGCTCGTACCGGCCCGACATGGTGGGAGAACTGGCCGTGGCCAAGGGGTGTTGATGCCCCCTCAATCGGTGATCAGGCACCAAGCGCCGGGATGCAAACGTCGCGTGGAATCAATGTGTAGCGTTGAGGAAGGGAAAAAGAGAGCAAAAGAACGATGGTAATATCGTGGATGAAGTTTGAGAAAGGAAACAAAGACAGGAAAAAGAGCGCACGGCTCTGTTGGGGATCAGGAATTCAAAGGGTGACTCGGGGACCGCGATGAAGCAACCAACAGCAGGGACTTGAGCAGGTGATGAACTGGATTGGCACTGGCGGTGGCGGCTGACCAAGCGGACCGGCTTGTTCTGTACGCCAAGGCCGCTGGCTGCCTCAAGGGACTTGACCCACTATTTACCTGCTTTGTCTTAGTAACTGTGCATGGGATCCACTTATTGCTCTCGATAACAGCTCGAGTGCTCGACCGAGAAATTCAGTGACACAGTCCATCAAGGTTCCAGAACCGTCCAGGGCAACCATGTCTGGCACAATACGAGGTGTAGGTGGAAGAGACACCGTCTTATTCGATCTGACTGTATGCTAAACATTGGGCTTCCAGGTCGCAGCGAACCACTTCCGGGGCTTGCTCACGCGGTGGCCGAAGGACGTCCTCCGACCCGAGTGCCAGCTACAGGATGTCCTCGCCAAGCGGCAGGAGATGGGCCATCTTGCGTCCACCCCGAAAGGCCTCACGCAGGAACAGGCCGACTTGAAGCAGGCCAATGCGCTGTACTCGCTACTCGAGGACCGGTACAAGAACAAGGTGGGCACACCTCGGGGAGGAAGGGGACTGGGGCTCGGCTGATGGATGGCAGTACCGCGCGCCCCCCAGCATGTTCGAACCTAAGAGTAACCCGACTTACTACAAGGACCTTGTCAAGGAGTTGGAGGAGGCGCCGCACCGGTCATGGCTGGGCAGGCTGGCGAAGAGGCTGAGCGGGATGGTCCGCTTCGCATGACGGAGCGAGAACTGGAACGACACAACATGCATGGTCACGGCGTTTGGAGTCTTTGGAATCCATAAGAGGTAGGCGGCATCAAAATCTTCAAGATCCGACATGTACAGATACACATATTATCTACCATACAAATCGGGGGTATAACTCGCCCGCTCCAACCCAACACAGCAAGCACACCCATAACGCCCAGCCCCTCTGTCCGCGTTTTCCCTTCCACGAGATCAAAGATACTTCCTCTCCGGATCCAACCGATCCATAAACTCCATACTCTTCTCATACATGGTAAACACAATGCCACCACTCAAAATCAACCTCGCCAGCCGCGGCAACGCCCCACTCCAGAACGTCAACACGCCCTCCTGCTTAAAGATGATAGCCGCGCACCGAAAAGAATTTCCATACAACTTCCTCGCCTCGATACTCTGCATGCGCGTCTTAATGGTATCCAGCGGCTGCGTGACATACACCGTGATCAGCCCCGCGATGCCGCCCATGGCGAACGTGCCGACGGCGCCGAGCTTCTCGCCAGGCGCCGTGTAGCCCTCGGCCAGCTGCTTGAGCGCCGTGTAGGCGCTGAAGCGCGTCGCACTGTTGGCCGCCTGGCGGGCCGTGGTGGGCACGAAGCCCTGGAAGAAGCCGCGGATGCCGCGCTCGCGGGCGATGATGGGAACCGCGTGAAGGAAGCCGCGCATGCGGGGGTTGGGGGATTTGCGGTCGTCGATTCTGTGTTTTTTTGGACGCGGACGGTTAGTGCTGGGAATAAGGTGGTGGTTGTTGTGCGAGCGTCTGGTGTGCTTACAGGGTCGTCTTGATGCTCTCGGTGGGTGTGACAGCCAGCAGGGACTCAGTCACGCCGGCGCCAAAGCCAGCTAGAACTGTTCGGGGCCCAGTCATCTTGCCGTCTTTGTCGGCGAGTAGGCGTTTGTACTGGTCGAAGGCGACAAATCCTGGTCATAATCAGCCTCGCACGCGAGATGATTGTTTCGAAGGGACAGCCTACGAATACCCGCCTTGGCCGAGTTGCCGATAATCAGAGTAGTGCACCCGGCGTACCACTGCCGGCCGAACGGCGGCCACGGCAGCTTCTGCCCCTCGGCTAACCTGCGATTGAGCTGCGTGCGCGTCTTGGCGACTATGGGATATGTTAAGCAGGCAATCGGCGCGCATCGCGTGGTTGGGGCAACATACACTCGGCCGGGTATGTGATAGCTGCAACGAGATGACTGTGTTAGCATTTGTCGTTACTCTTCACGCGCAACCTTTCAGGTTGCTCACCAATTTCCACGGCACCGGCTGTTGACCCAGCCAAAATGGACCGCAGGGCGCTGGGGCCCTTGACGGCCGGGTGCGCGTCTTCCCTGGCCGACGTCGACGACATTCTGGACTTGTGTATCGCTGCGGTTGTCGGAGGAAGACAGGGCCAAGTCAAAAAGGTTTGGGTCGAGTTCTGGAACGCCAAGACCGGGCTGCCGATTGCGGGCCCGTTGTCGAGGTGGCGGGGGTTGTCCGATGATGTCACGGTACTGGTAATCTCAACGTCGCTCAATGCTGCTGCTGCTTGTCGAATGCGAGTCTTTGAAACGATGAAACCATCTTCCAAGCAGCGATCAGAACTGCAAGCAGCGATCAGAATCGAAAGCAACTTGCTGGGTTTTCGGGCTCCTCCGCGTCTATATGGAGCATCTGGTCCGGGGAATATCTCGCGCATCTGTCCCTGTCAACAACTGCTCTTGCTGATATACAGCAGGCGCTTCCATTCACGGCTTCGGGCAGAATGTGCCTTGTCGGCCATCTCCTTACTGACAGCACAAAACATGCATCTCAATCAGGAATGATGTTACTGACAGGATGATTCTACTGATCAAAGAAGATCAAAACTCATTGGCCCCAAACTCCAAACCTAAGATACAGTCCAGAAACTCCCCTATTTCCATCTCGGGACATCCCATCAAGCTTACTTGGTCGACGGATTGGGACTGGTCTTCTCCTCAGGGAATTTCCTGAAGATGTCGGCAATATGGTCGATCGGCGCCGCTAGCATTCCCAGCGCCGACTCAAAGTACGGGTTCTCGCCCGCGCTCGGGTGGCTGCGCGACGGCACCAGCGCCTTGGTCATGCCAAACTTCTTGGCCATGTTCTCGGACTCGCTGCGTCCCTCGGAAGACTGAGCCAGCGCCGACTCGAGCGCCGGCAGGTCGTGGTTCTCCTCCTCCTCGATGTGTGCCGAGAGCACGCCCCAGAGTTCCTTAAGCTTGGGAACGTAGGTTGGCTCTTGGGGCTTCATGTTCTGGAATTCCTTGAGGAGTTCCTTGACCTGGAGGTGTGAGGCAGGTCAGCGGGTGTGTTCTCCTGGCAGTGGTTGGGTTGTCTCGGCTTACCCGGTGGTGCTCCTTGCGGTCCGATTCGGCCATCTGGTGGCCCTTGGCGCCCATGTGCTTCTCAAAGGCCGGGTAGACAATCAGTTCCTCGGCCACGCTGTGCCGGGCCAACTCCCATGTGAACTGGTTGCCGAAGCGCTCCTGGTGGTCGAGGTCGGACGAGCTGGTAATCTCATTGTAGAACTTCTCCAACTCGCGGTGGTCCCGTGTGATTGTGTCCGAGATGGTCGTCATTGCGGCGGTATTGAGTCTGCTCGCTGCTAGCTGGCGCGCTACGAGAGGTGTTTCCGTCTGGCGAAGAGTTGTCCTGAGAGTAGAGGCAATGAGCGGGCGTGTCCGAAACATTGTAGCGGAAGTGGTCTAGGAGTCGGGTTGAGCAATGGTAGAAGCTGATCTTTAATAGAGCTGGCCAGTACTGAACGAATGAAAGCTAGCTTATGAATGGCGCGAGTGTGATTCGTTGATATATCTGGGGAAATGGCCGGATGATGTCGCTGATCACCTACTTGGAAGTGGTGACATCACGGTTTGACTTATTGTTGCGGGCTGCCGGGGATGGTTTCCGGCAAAAGTTGTCCATTTAACAGTTCTGAGGATGTTTTCAGGCTTGATCGAAGGCATCCCATTCACTGCAGGCTTACTTGACCAATGGTTCATGCTTTACAATTTGTTGGTCTCCTAGACTCCCAATGCACAGTCCTCATTACACTGTGTTTATTAAGGTGTCGATCACCACAATCATCCCATTCCCAGCACCGGGCCAACTGTGATGGGTGTCCTGCTTTCTTCCGATGAGGCAGTGCATCAAAGTTGCAATCCAGACTTGGGTCTCAAATTATTCCTCTGCCGCCTTCATCCTCCTTTTCCATCCGCCCTGTTTGCCACTTTGCTGTCAGCTCTGCTTTCGGTCGGATGTGTCTGTTGGAATGACCAACAGCCACGTATCCACGGTTATCACTCAGATGAGGGCTTACAATAGTGGGTTTTGTTTCCTCGTGAGCGACTCAGAAGTGCTTGCTTGAAGGTGATGACGAATAAAAGATCGTTCCTTGGCCCCCCTCCTTCTCAACTGGGTCGGAGCCGTCTAGAACCTATATTTCGTTGCTCAGCACTTTGTTACCCCTTACATTCGCTTGGCTCATGTCCCTGATTGCCTGTCGATCTAACAGTAGGGAATCAGTAGCCGAGATTCCGAGTTTCCAGTGCCACGACTTCCCAACAGTTTCACTGGGTTGCTCAACCATCTTGAAAGACTCTCAGGAGCTACCTCAGCCCAACCTGTCGGGGCGCGCCGTGTCGGCAGTGATCACTGACCTGATCATGATTGTGACCAAGAAGTCTCACTAGGAATTGACCAGGATGAAAACAGAACAGACATGGCGCATACATCCCTCTCACAATGGACACCATACCATGCAGGTGACTGATGCTGCACGGAGTAGGTGGGCCATATAGGCTAATTCCAACTTCCAAGCAAGTTAAGCAGGACCAGCTCGGTCGAGGCCATCCATGAGTAGAGTACAACCGGGAAAGAGTTTTCAAGAAAAAAAAAAAAAAAAAAAAACCAACAAAGGAAAAGACAACTCTCGAAACGCCGCCGAATGCAGTGCCAGACAAAAGAGCCCAGGGTATCACCGAACGCCCGACCCCAAGTCGAAACACTCCTTCCCAAAGGATTCCATCCAACGACCCAGATTATATCCGCTCATCACCAACTCCATCCATTCCACTCAGTCATCCCTTGTTTCCTTCCATCCCTACCCTACTCCATCTCATCATCTCCCTCCTCAACCGCCTCCTCGACCTCAACTCTAACCTTCTTTCCCTTACCCCTTCTCACAGATTGAACCCCAGCAGTAGAAGCCGAAGACGCGCGACGACCCCGACCACCACCACCAGCAGCAGCAGAACCAGTTCGACGACGTCTTTCACCACGTACTGCACCCACAGCACCACCACGAGCAGAAGCAGCACCACCAGCACCAACACCAGAAGCGACAGGAGGCTGGACAGCCGCTGCCGCCCAAGGCTCGGGCTCGGCCCACGCCTCGCCCATGCGCACCAGCACCTGGCGCGCCAGGGGATCCTCCTCGACGCGGCAGACGCCACTGCCCATCCAGGCGCGCACCGTGGTGGCCGACTGCGGGCCCTGGCGGCCTTCGTAGGCGCGGCAGACCCACATACCTGTGTCGGTGTTGCTGTATTCGGGCTTGGGACTGGGCTTGAGACTGCCCAGGTTCGAGTTGGAGTTTTCGGAGCTGGCGCGGGTGGAGGATGTGGTGGCGGTGGCTTTGGCTTTGCCATTGAACTTGTTGTTGGTATTGGTGATGGGAGCATTGGTGTTGTTGTTGTTGGACCCCGAAGGGCCAGCCTCGTGGCTGACCTCTTTGCCCTGGTTACTATCACCGTTGTTGGTGTTCTTACCGTTATTGCCGGCAGCGGTGGGCGCAACGTCGCACGGCAGGTAGTAGAACACCTCCCCGCCCTCGGGCAGGAGGCCGAAGGCGTCGAGGAGCGCAGCGATGAACTGGCGCGCGGCAGGCGAGCGCGGGAAGAAGGCGACGGTGCCGATGGGCCAGTCGCGCTGGTAGAGCGAGACGATGTACTGCGTCTCGCCCACGTCCAGGGCCTGGTCGGGGGCCATGTCCGGGTTGGCGAGGCGGTGGTAGTGGTGCGCCTCGGCCTTCAGCTGACCCGCCGGGTCGACAAGCTCTGGATGATGCAGCGCCACGTGGGTGACGAGGGCCGAGCCTTTGATGCGCACCGTGAAGTTGGTGGAGGCCGGGTGGCGCGAGACCAGGAAGGTGCTGTCCGGGTACAGCTTTCCGACGGAGCCGAGGTAGCGACCCGGGACGGTCAGCATCCTGTCAGTGGGCTCCGGACGGAACGGCGGGAGCTGGTTGACACGGAGCGGGGCGAAAGGGATAGATGGGTCATTGTCCATAATCGGCAGAGGCGGGTGATACATGTTTACCGCCATGACCGGAGCCGGGTCGGCGTGGTTATTGCTTGCCTGCTCAGAGAAGTTGGCAGGCATGGGCATGTCCATGGTTAAGTTCACCGGCGCAGGAGGAACACCGAAGGGGAGGAGAGGTTGGCCCAGGGTTGCCGGGGGAGGAGGGTTCTGCAACTGCTGGGCACCGGGAAGGTACCCAGGGATTGGCGGGAATGGCATGGGGTGCATGTTCTGTACACCCGGAAACGGCGGCCAGTGCTGGATCACACCATCCATCGGCTGTTGATGGAACATGTCCATCGGCGCCAACGGTTGCATGAATATCGGCGGCAGCTGAACATTGTGCATGTCGGCATTGTCGGGCGGGCGGGGGAAGTACTCGTTGAGCGGCTGCTGGTTGAGCACGCTCGTCTGCTGGGCACCGGGCATGTGCAGCAGTAGGGGGTTCACCGTTCCCGGCAGAACAGGCCTGAATTCGTCGAGCAGCATGTGGTGATCGTCCATGTCAAAGGGGCGGGCAGTGTGAATCTTGAGCGTGTCGGCAGCGAGAGGCGCGGGCTGGGGGCTGTATATGCCCTGTTGGGCGATGTACTCGTCGCGCGGCAAGGCGCGGCGAACGTCGCCAGGCTCGGCATTGTACGCAGCCATCGGCTCCAGCTCGTAAATGTTCTTGGGCCCAGCGTTGCCCATGTTGGCCGAGGGGCTGTGCACGCCCAACGGCGCGTCCTTGCCCACGAGGGTTGCCTCGTCGAAGCCTGGCGGCAACGGGAGGCGCGCAAAGTAGGCGCCGGACTGGTGGGCGCCGGGGACCTGCGGCATGGCCGCATCGCCCTCGTCCGACATTTTCTCGACGTCGGCATTGTCGGCGTCCTCCAAATTCTCTTCGTTGACATCGGGGATCTCGCTCTCGGAGCAATCGGCCGCGACACCAGCCAGGACTGTCGAGTCCGAGTCGCGATCATGGATGATGGTGCTGAGGTTGTCGAGTTCAGCCTCGTTGGCGTCCGCGGCGTCATCTGCCATCTCTTCGTCACCTGCGAACGACGCGCTCTGCGCGGATTGGGCGATTCGAGCGTTGCGAGTCCTAATCGGCAGCATCTCGTCCTCGAGCGCGCGCGCGTTGTCGTCCGCAGGCGCGTTGGCCGGCATCAGGGTCGGGTCCATGACGCTTTTTTCCACTGTGCGCCTCACCATGTTTGCGGCGCCCAAGGTCGTCTCTTGGTTTGCTTGTCGGTGCGCAACCGACGGACTCGCGCAATTCTGGTTGTTATTGCCGGAAAATGGGTCTCCTGCTCCCGCCGTTGTTCGCGAGAATGAGTCGACCCCAGCGTGTTTGAGGGGGGAGAAGCCAAGTGAGTCTCCAGAATATTGTGAGGTCGTAGTGGAAGAAGAAAGCGAAAAAATATCGGTGCGCGCAGAAGGGTTGAAATAGGCGGGGCGCTGGCCGAGGGAGAATGAAGAAGAAACTGGCGGAGGGGCCCGGAAGCTCGGCGGGTACGCAGAATGCCGGACTGCTTCCTCCCATGCGCTGCCCGCGGGTCCCTCCTCGCAGCGTAACCCACCCGCAGACGCCGACGAAGATGCGCCGCCCGTTCGAGCCCGGCTGGTGGCCCTAAGGAAAGTGGCGTATGGGTTCGCGGGGTCATGGACAGTTGAGGGCACAAAACCGGTCGACGGCGGCGCGTACCCTCTCCTGCCCACGAACCCGCCGCCCATGCCGGCTTCCTGGTCAGCCCCGTTCCACCGGCCAGAGGCGTTGTTGCTTGTGGGCATACGCCCACCAAGACCCACGCGTACACCCAAGCTGTCCCGGAGACGAAGACATCATTAGTATGCTGACTTTTGCTGGCAGAACTGTGGCACTTGCCGTGGGAGAACAAAACGGGTTGAAGAAGAGGCAGCTGAGTTGCCAGATGATTGCGCGGTGTTCGTGGAAGAGGGGAGGAGCAGAGTGTGATGTGAAGAGAAGGCAGCCGGGTTGCCAGGGGATGTGCGGTGGTCGAGGAAGAAGAGAAGGCAGGGCGGTTGGGCGTAGTGATGGTGAGGAAGACGTGAAGGGAACCATGGGTACTTACCCGAACGAGTAGGCATACCCCGGGGGGGACGGGTAGCCAGAAACGGTGGCAGCGAACGAAGACGGGCCGCCCTCATGGTCGTACACCCCAGGGTGGCTAAGGGTGCCCCAAGGCGCGACGACGTCCCGACCAAAAGTGCCCACGGCACCCACGCGGCCCTCTCCTCCCCAGCCAGGCGGGCCAACGGCAAACGGCGAAGGCTCGACCGGAGCCGTGATCGGCAGCGGCCGGGGCCCCAAGCGCGAGATCGACGCCAGAGCAAAACGAGCATCCTTAGTTGATATCAATGTTAGCCACAAGACGGGAAGTAGGAGGAAATGGTGATCAGAAACAGAGGGATGCGCCCGGTGTATGGTGGTCCCATCCAGGCACTGCACAACCAGCCTGGCAACGGACGGAAATACTGTAGGCTGACGACCATCATGACAACAGATGTGTACCCACACCCTGTTGCCCTTCTGGTGTTGGCAGTGAGGAGGGTGTTCGACACTCAGGCAACATTTAGTCCCATAAGACAACAGCCCCAGTGCCGGGACCACACTGTTAACACAAGACAGCGGGATGTTCAGCAAAAGGGGCTACCGCCTGCATGAGCCTAATTGTCAAGCAAATGACAAACACCTATCACCCCCTGACCCTGCAGCAGTCATCGCCGATGTTGCCAGCCCGGCCACCAAGACCACCGGCCGGACGAAACAACCAAACACCACGCCGCCACCACCCTCGCCCACAAGGGCTGTCGGATAGAAGTCTGTACTTACTCCACATCCATATCCACCACAACTGCCACCACCTTTCTCAACACCACCCCATTTAAGAGAGCCAGGGCGACTGTCAACAACGAAACTTCCGGAAGGAGGCAGCACAAACGGCCTACCAACAGTGTTAGCTGCGAGTTTCCTATTCAGGACTTGTCGGAGGGTGTGGGGAACAAATGGCTCCAGAGACGGTGAGACAGCCCCACGGCACTTTGCCTGCCCCTACAGCAACAACGCCAACACCGGCGATGGAACAAACGAGCAAGCGAGTAGGTAGATGAGACATGGGCCGAGTTGCGCGTGCACCAGTCGTAAAGGGGTACAAACAATCCACACACGCAGAACAAAGAACAAAAAGGAGTTTGCAGCTTACCTGTCAATCGACACGTGCCCCCTGCCGACCCTGTCCCAGAACTCTTGCGCATCGACGGGCAGTCCGTCTTCACCGTCACCTTCACCGTCACCATCAACGTGACCATCGTGACCATTACCACCAGCAGCGAGAGACCACGACAGTGGCGGAAGCCGAGGAGGAGCAGGACGACGCAGTGGCGCAAACGGCCGCGACCTGTCGCCCGTATGCGGGGCGTTGGGGAACAGCACCCGCCGGGGGTTGGCTGGCTGCGGCGTTGGCGGGGAGACAGGAGCTGCAAACGGGTAGGGCGGGGTGTTGCTGTTGGTGGCGGCTGGGGCGGGCTGGGATGAGTTGTTGGTGTGGGGTCTCTGTTTGAGAAGGGGTATGGTTAGCGGATTTGGCTCGTGGCGGATGAGGTCTTGTGGGCTCGGCTGGGGGACTGGGATTGGGGGTGCGAAGGAGACGGTGGTGATTTGGGTGTGGGAGTCCGGGGATACGTGGTCCAGCTGGTGTCACTGGCGCTGTGCTCGCAGAGGAACATAGCCCAAGTGAGGAGGAAGGTTGGTTCCGTTTCCAGCCGACATCCAGCTGTGCACAGGGCTGGTGATGAGCTATCATGGGCAACACTCGCATCGGACATGACGACAACAGAGGGTCGATGCCTTCAAGGCTGCAACACTCTGTTGACTCAAGAGTTGTCGATCACAGCCCCTTCACCAGCGCAGTGTATCGGTGTTTGTCGGGTGACGAGCGCCCACCTCACCACGGCATCGAGGCATACAAGCGGTCAAGAGAAAAGAAGCATCGACTTACAGAAGCGGGAGTCGGCGTCTCTGGTGTCTCAGGCCTGACGCCGGGATACTCTGAGTCGTTCGTCACCTCGCCATCGACCTCGTCATGCTCGGCGTCGTTCATGCACTCGTCTTCGGCCTCGGGCTCGATGAGGCGAGTGGCGCGCACGCTGCACCGAAGCAAGTATCGAGTATCGGGGATCCCGTAGCTCATCGTGTCGGTTATCGTCCAGCAGCGATGATATGATCGGTTTTTAAACTGTGGAGTGAAGTAGTCGTGCTGCTGGAGGACGCTGAACGAAGAAGAGGTGATATTCTGCGTGATCTTTTCCACCAGGGCGCTTACGATATCGGTTGCCGGCGAAGGAAAGAAGATGGCTCTAAACCGCTGGAGAAGGATTTGGGATCCTCGAGCAGGCTTTTCTCGTTAGCGAACAGAGGAGGAGAACGAGAAGAGGAGAGAGGTGCTCATTTATCTTCGAACAAGCTATCTTGATGTCTTTGATTAGGTTCGGTGCCGATGAAGTCGAGAAGAGGTGTTGAACAGTGGGAATGAAGGAAGGAGGGAGAAGAATCGGCTGCACTCGCTAAAGTGGTTCGTTCGGCTGGAAGATGAAGAAGTGCAAGAGGGCTGGGAATCGGTGGAAAGAGAAAGGAACCTTCTTTTCATCCTCAACAAGCTTACCCAGCAATTGAAGAAGGAAGAAGAGAAGGGAAAGGGTTTCGAAAACCGGTTTTGTGTACGCACAGTGAAGAATTCGACAGGCGGGTCTCAGAGGTCACACGCCCTAGATAGACAAAAGCGGAGAACATGGTGATGAGGGCAATCTTAGAGGTGAGGACGACGATGAGGGGTGGTTCTCGGCGTCGAGGGTGCCGAAGCGGGAAGGCCGGCTCGACACGGCTCCCGGCCTCCGGGGCGCCGGTCACACAGGGTAAGGCCCACAGAAAGGGTCAACAATATCTTGGGGCACATCCAAGTGATGTACATGTGGAAGGACATGGTCGTTCTGAAGGTCAGGATTCGAAAGGGGCAGAGGTGACATCTATCTATCATCTGGAAGACTTCCCGCCAGGGTGTGAGCGCGCTGATGAGCTTCGCATATAAGAACATGACAGCTATAAATAGGCATGACACATGCTTCGAGCCGCGCATAGAGGTGGGAGACATGCTGCACGGGGCTGAGACTGTTGTGGTTGTCAAGCACAAGACAATAGTCAGGGGTGGACAGCGAGACTGGGGGGAAAGGAGACATAGAACCTCAGGGAGTATCAGGGGCATCAACGAAAAGCCGACATAGGACGGCCAAGTAACGTGTTGGTGCCCCGTGTCAACAATACATGCTGCTGCTGGGAGGTGGAGATCGGACAGTGTGCACTGCTTGATTAAGGAGGGGATTGAGGGTAACATTAACGTTAATGAATTATTACCACGGTATGTGAGGAGAGGGGTTGGTGAAGAAAGAATCCGGGAAACACATAAGGTGCGTTCCCTCATGTTTGTGGGAGCAGCAATCATAATCGCTGTATCTCATTTACGCATCCTCATGCGCTCTACGCGGCCTCAAGGAGTTTCACTGTGTCCAGTGCAGGTGAATTCGAGTATTGAGAAGAATGGCGCGATCGGGTGACGCTTCAAACAATAGACCAGCGGTCAATAGAGCAAGGTACCTTATGTCTTTGCATCCTCTACTCATTGGCATGGGCAGCTTTAAATAACAGATATGAACCTAACTACCTATGACGATGCAGGTTCAAAGCTGGTTGATTTTGGAACCTGTAAATCCATGAGACAGTATGCTCAGCCCTAGGTGCCGGAGTGAGAGGCTCTACGACGGAACGGAAGCCTTCGGAAAGTGCAAAAACATATCAGCCAACAATAACAAAGAATGACAAACAGAAGCTTAAGTCATGTTTCTTGAGACCAATGTTACCCCTGAGGTGCGAGAAACATGTATGCCAATCCCGCATTCGGAACCGTTAAAGCCACGTTCAGCATTTGCACACTCAAGAAACTGGAGAAAGGTCTGAACGCGGATTGATGCTTCCAATTCCTCACCGCCAGAACTGAGACAAACTAATGTTTCTGGTCGGAATTACTGGCGCCGACCCACCGACGTGAAGGCAAAAAGGCCTGGAAGATGCAGCTGTGCAAGGATGGATGCGCCACAATGCAATCTGCCGCTGCGATGAGAGAAAAAGACTTCCGATTGTGCCTCGGGAGATTCCGCCGACGAACGACATCATACTGTCCTGCTGATCTCGAAGATAATGAAGACAATCGCTGAGCCTGAGGAATTGGCGTTGGGCACATCGCTCCCGCCAGGAGATCACCATGTAAGTGGCCAACACCAACACCATCACCATGCTGTATGCTGACAAGTCCAGGGCGTCAGTGTCCACTTGCCAAACTGGCAAGACACCGTCGGCTGGGCTTCGCGCGAGCCTCGAGTTCTCGACGCAATGAAGACGGGATACCCGCGTTTCTTCATCCACCGAATCGTCCTTGGACTTGCGATGCGACTTCTCGAAAGACTCCGGTCCGGGGAGAATGCTCCAGGCTCGAAGGAGCCGGAAGAGAGGCTTGCCGTCATACTGAGTTCGATCCGCCATGGCCAGTTGTGTCGCAAAGCGCTTATAGAGTGGAGTACGCAACGAGAAGGGCATACCACCTGCAGCTCGGCCGGCATTGGAATTTACATCGTCACTTGGGAGGGCAGGATCAGCGCGGTAGAGGATAACGAAGAATGTCTCAACGAGCTTGCGCAGAACCGAAGCATCGGCGAAGAGGACATCATCCTGGTATCGTACCCATTCGAGCTGGCCATGGAAGCGAAGTCCTTTTGGCAGCACACCGGTTTTGGCAACTCCAGCAGACGAGCCACACATTGGCTGGAGCATGCGCCTTTCCTCAACCCTCAAGTGCCAGAGACTACGTTACCTTCACCCGCCGAGAGGCGTCACAGCGTCGGCAAGGCACGGGCTGCATTAAAGAAGCGGATCGCAGCCGGCCACTCATCCAACACCTTCACGGTTTCGCCCAACAATGTCTTCCTCTTCCTGACAGGCATGACCGCCATCGTCGAAACAGCCGACGCAATCAAGACTCTGCGCTCGGCCACCACGGACAGCCCTTACCGCGTAGCAGTTTTTGGGTCAGTCTCCCTCCGCCCATTCCCTTCCCACCCGCACTCACTGACTGTTACATGAACCAGCTTCCTCTACGTCGATACCTTCAAAGTCCTCCATCGCGTCTTAGGCTACGAGCCGACCCTCTACAAGTACACCACTTCCGACCTAGACGCCCTTGAAGCCGCGCTTCTTTTCTCCTCGTCCTCGTCTCCTTCCTCTTCCTCCCCCACTCAAACCCCCCCAAAATTCGACGCCATCATCACCGAATTCCCCGGCAACCCCCTCCTACAATCCCCCGACCTAACCCGCCTGCACGCCCTCGCCCAACGCCACGGCGCCGTCCTCGTCGTCGACGACACAGTCGGCACCTACACCTCCCTCAACCTGCTCCAGCACTGCGACGCCATCGTCACCAGCTTGACCAAGATGTTCAGCGGCGGGTGCAACGTCATGGGCGGGAGCGTCGCGCTCAACCCAGACTCCCCACACCAAAGCTCCCTAAAAGAAGTTCTGGAGAACAAACAAGACGAGGAGGCGGAGCGGGCGTGGTTCTGGGAAGATGTACTCGTCATGGAGGAGAACAGTCGGGATTTTGCGGCGAGGGTGCACCAGGCGAGCGGGAATGCCGAGGTTGTAGTTGGGCTGTTGAGGGCGAGTGAGGTGGTGAGGGAGGTGTTTTATCCGCTTGGTGCGCCCACGCAGGACGTGTATGATCGGTATCGGGTTGAGGGGGGCAAGTATGGGTTTTTGCTGTCGATCCGGTTTACGAGTCCTGCGAGGGCGGTGGCGTTTTATAACGCGTTGGATGTGGCTAAGGGGCCGAGCTTGGGGACGAATTTTACCTTGTGCTGTGCGTACACTTTGCTGGCGCACTACAAGGAGCTGGAGTGGGCGGCTGAGTATGGGGTGGTGGAGGATCTGGTGAGGATCAGTGTGGGGTTGGAGGAGCGGGAGTGGTTGGAGATGAGGGTACAGAAGGCGTTGAGGGCTGCTGAAGGTGTGTGATGGAGGCCGAGTTTGAGAATGGGCAGAATCGGGTAAGGGTCACACTATCTGTAAACAGAAGGTATGGATATATTCAGGAGGGTTGGCACATGATAGGACCAAGAGACGCGCGTGATTACAGCCTAACACGTAACGCCACGCCCAAACCATTCTTGATTGTGCCTCTGAGCCGAGGACATCTCCATGCCATCAGCGCGCTCGAAGTGTCCACGTAATGATATCAAGGGGACAGTATCCACATGAAGTGTGGCATGAAGGGGGAGGGCTTCAAGGCTCGTTGCTTTATGAATGTGGCTCTGAGATTGAGTTCTCCATAAGGGGAAATGTCCCACGCAACCTGGAACCCTGGACCTAGCTGCAAGTACGGATTACCTCACACAAATCTATTCGTTAAGTGCAATGCAGCGCAAAAGACGAGGACAACAACAACGTCCTGTCCGAGCAAAGCTAGATAGAGTCTATGTCCTTCCCATCTCACGCAGGTCAAGCCCAGCCCGATGTCCTGGCCCCGACACATGCCTATCTCGATCCCATGCATCGCTCAAACAGAGACGCTCCTCCAGACCCCAAAGGAGCACCTGATAGGCAACGACGGCAAAAAGCCCACCATCTACATCTTGCTCTTCACCCATACGGACCCAAACCTATACCCACCCAGTCACGTCTACTCGGGGATATGATCCTCAACAGCGCTGAGGGCAGCGAGGTTGACCTCGCCCATGCTGAGCACGCCACCAGCGGTCGTGCCTGTGCCACCTCCCCCGACCCCGGCAAGGAGCGCCACACACTCAATGACGTCCTCAGGCTCGAGTAAATGCCACCGGGCAAGCGTGACTTTGGTGCTCGCACCGACAGTAACGGTGAAGCAATCGTCCGTCGCGACCTCGGGCGTGCTGTTTTGGCTGCCGTCGGCGGGCTGCGACAGCCCGTTCAGGGCGCGGAACATGTCCTCGTCGGTGAAATCGTCGCCCATGCAGAGGATGAAATCGACCCTGTCTGCGCTGCCGTCGTTGCCGCCGTTGCGCAGCTCGGCATTGTAGGTGGCCACGAGACGCTTAGAGATCTCGCCCTTGTTGATGAACGTGGGCCGCACCTCCAGGTTGGCCTTGCCGGCCATGACCTCAACGTCCCATTTGCGACCGACCGTAGTTTCCAACTCCTTGTGGCATTCACGTGCCATATGTGCGCCTTGTTCGGGATCGGCCTGGCGGTAGTGCCACGTCAGGGCGCACCGCTTCCGCTCAATAAACGAACCTGATTCCTGTCAGCCGTCTGGAAACAATGAGAATGGAAAAAGGAAAACGACTTACCGGGCACCTTGTCGGTGTACTTCTGGAACACATCGAGTACCTCGACCTGCCAGCCCATGTCGAACTTCTCGGCGAGATTCTCCCACTCGGTCGATCCCGGGTTCCGCATAAAGCTGCCATGCTCCGCACTAAAGCCAAGCTGCGTAATGTGGCCCAGGTGCTGTGTGAGGAACTCCTGGTCACGGCCAGAGATGATCCAAACCGCGTTCCGGGGGTCTGCAGCAAGCGCCTTCAAGCTCGTGATGACGCGCTCCGAAGGGATCGCTGCGCTCGGTTCCCGGACAATGGGCGTCAGCGTGCCGTCGTAGTCAAACATGAATAGGCGCTTCTTGGCGGCGCGGTACTTGCGCAGCATGGCCGACCGGTCGAGAAGTGGCGTCGAGGTCGCATTCTTCCGGCTGCCGAGGATAGTAACCAGGCGGCGAAGGAAGCCGGCGATCCAGTACTGCACGTTCTTGCTCGTGACGTGGGATAGCAGGTTCTGCTCCATGGCCTGACGCTTGTCCTCGGGCATGGTGAGCGCGTTGTTGATCTGGGCAGCGACGCCGGACAGATCCCACGGGTTGATGTGGATGGCGTCCTTCAGAGAACCGGCGGTGCCGCTGAATTCGGACAAAATCAGGGGACCGGCCGACTGGCGCTGGCAAATGACGTATTCGAGCGACGTGGTGTTCATGCCGTCCCTCACCGACGTGATGAGGCCGATATCGGCTGCGCGCAGTAGCGCAAAGTACTCTTCCTGGCTAATGTACTGCGGGTAGTGCAGCACAGGCGAGAAACTAATGGAGCCGTAGGCGCCGTTGATCTTCATGACCAGCTCATTGACCCGACTCGAGGTCTTGTTCTCGGAGTCCTCCTTCTCCTCAATGTTGGTGGGCGACGTAACCTGGATGAGCACCACCTTGTCCCGCCACTCGGGGTAGTTCTCGAGGAACCGCTCAAACGCCATGAGCTTCTGCGCAACGCCGCGGACACTATCCAGACGGTCGCGGCCCACGATGATCTTCTTTCCGGCATACATTTTCTTGAGCGCCTCGTATTTCTCGTTGACTGAGTCTGTCCAAGCCAAGCGGGCAACCTTTGTGGCGTCGATGCCAATGGGGAAGACGCCGACTTCGACGCGCGAGCCGTAGGCGTCGACACCCGAACTGTCCGAGGGGAAGCCCAGAATGCGCGTGCAGCAACTGGCAAAGTGTCGTGAATAGCTGTAGCTCTGGAACCCAACCAGGTTGGCGCCCAGGACGCCCTCGAGCACCTCCTTGCGACGCGGCAAGCAGCGGAGGAACTCGCTGCTCGGGAAAGGTGAGTGCAGGTAGAAGGCGATGTACATGTGCGGGGCGCGCTGCCGCAGCATGCTGGGGAGCAGCATCAGGTTGTAGTCATGGACGATGACAATGTCGCCGGGCTTATAGACCTCGAGGATCTTGTTGGCAAACTTCTGGTTCATCCTAAAGTAGTCGGCCCAATGTGCTCTCTCGGCGCGGCCGTCGGTCGGCTCATGCTGCTTGTAGTGGAAGAGGGTGTAGAGATCGTGCTCGGCGTAGCGCCTCCATCTCGCCTGGTCCTTCAACCTGATGCCGCCTTCGTTTCCGTCGACGTCGTCGGCTAGCCAGACCGGAACCGTCTTGATCTTCTTGTTGTGCGACAACTGATTCTCGAGGCGCTGCATGTCTTCCTTGGGAATCCACAGCCCGTCTGTCGGCGGCGTGGGCGGCCTCGACTCACCATCGAGCGGCACCGGTCTCGAGAGAGGATTGAGCGAGCTCAGGTGGACCGTGGTGCTGGGCCCGTCCTGGGGCGGCCACGCCTCCGGGGGCTGCTCGATCTCGCCAGTCCATGCGACAACCGTGTGGTTCCAGGGTGATTCGTCGGAGGAAAGGTACGAGAACGCATCGAAGAGCGCCGATTGGCCGTGGCGCGGAGCCAATTCCTGCAGGAGACGATGACATCAGCCCCACCATCAAGCAACCTTGGCAAACGCTTGTGTCCCCGCTGCCATGGAGGGGTAGGTGAGCAGAGGCACAAGGTAAGGCTACTACAAAGAAAACTGCGGGCAAATGCAATATTGTACATACCCAGTCGGCGCCCTTGGGGTACTTGACCGAGTAGGGTATGTTGAAGGTGGCCGATATAATGTTGCCCGTGAGCGCGAGATTGGGGCTAATCGATCGAACATCGGACATGGACTCTGCTGCTGGTTTGTCGATCGGCTGGCCGAGGGCGGCAATGCTGACTCGTCGCATATAGTTGGTGCTCTCTTGAGCACCGATGAGAAGCTTGTTTCTGAATGATTGGCCGTCACGGCTTGTCACATCCGGAGCAGGCGATGCGGCAAGCGCGTGCTCGTCGAGGGGCGGCGAGAAATAGCCGGGTTCTGAGCGCCCGGTTCCGTTGGCATCGTCGCTCGCTTCGAACTCGTAGGCTTCACGTGTAATGCCCGGGGTCACAGGCACTTCAATGACAGAAGGGCGGAGGTGCGGAGGGAGGAAAGAGTCGGTGCGAATGGGAACGACAGGGCGCGGGGGGTTCTGCTCGACGGGATCCGCCTGGGCCGCGCCATTGGCCGCGCCTGCGTTCTGATCCATGGCGGCGCCGCGTCAATGGTCAGGGAATTGTGAGAGGTTGAGAGAATTCGTGACGGAGGAAATTAGATGAATGCGCAGAGGTGAAAGGCAGAGGAACTGCGAGATAAATAAGGGCCTTGCTCAGGACTTTGACGAACAACGTCAGCGGGGCAGAATGCAGCGGGGACACGGGCAGGCCAACTTGGCAGGCTCGCAGCAAAGGAGACAGAACCGGGCCCTAGTCCGCCGATAAGGATTGGGTGGGGCCAATATTGAAGAACAGCCGGTCTCGTTCTGCGCTGATAAGTCGCCGACAAGCTTCCGCTCCTTCAGTTCTGCTCTACTACGGATCCGTACTGTCGTTTACGTTCTTTTGAAGCGACAGGTTTATTGTTCCCTTTTCTGAGCGCTTCTAGCCCTCCCGCGGTTTTGTGTAACTGTCCAGCTGATGATTGGCCAACGCGTGCAATCGCGAACAGGGACGAAGCCGGGGATGGCGGGGCAACTTCACCGCCTGCTCAATCAAGGTTGTTTCAGTCTCGAAAATCGACATTATCTGCGCAAGCATCCATTGTTCACCCTCATCCTTACCTTACTGACGTTGGTCTTGAGATTCAGTCACTGAATCAGGCCGCCTTAAGCTCAGCCAACTGAGAACATTGAGTTGTTTGTCTGCCACTTCACATTGTTTCAGGCCATTCAAGCGGGACTGATGCCTGTTGGCTCGGTGGGTCCAGGCCCGAGACGGGCCTTGGAAGGTTGGCCAGATCGATCGACGATGCATTTCCACGTCTTGCCCCTGGTGCGAAAAGGAGGTGGGCAAGCTTCAGGTTCGACCAGCCCAATCCTATAACAGCCATGATTGAGCCACGCAGATACGGACAGTCCATTCAGCTCGTGAGGTGAACGAACGGAACATCAGTGGTTTGAACACAACACAGTGCTTAGAACACAACACTCGTCAACATTAGTTGCGCCATTTTTCTAGCTATTCTCCTCTCTCACTCCCTTCGCTTGTCGCTTGCGTCGTTCGTGCTCCCGTCTTGCCGCAGTTAAGCCGCAGGATTGACCGCGTTCGCCCGACAGGAGCCATTTCCTGCCGCTGCATCTGCACGTAAAGGTGCTTTTCACATGGCCTCATGCCGCAACCCGACTGGCTTCCCAGGTGCAATGCAACCCTGAGCCGCCTGCAAAACGACATGATCTGAGTTCTTCCCCATTATGGCTCAACGGGTACTTATCGCCTTGATACGACCATTTGAGGCTTCCAAGTTTCTCGTTCAACTAAAGAGCTACGTTCAGGGAGAACTACCTACATCGCCCAGCACGGCATGTACAATACGATACAACCCCCATCCCATGCCTCTCACCGCCAACGCGCTCAAGATGACAATGCCTACCCCTTCGACATTTGCATTCACCACGTGCTGCTCGACGAACACATGCCCCTCCCACCAGGAACGGTGAACCCTCTCCTGCTGCATATGATCCGATTCAGGTAAGTAACCCTAAGCCAAGAGGGGGGGATCGCTGTTGGGTTATGCCGCCTTGGCGTCCCCCGGCCATCCTCTTGACTAGAGAAGTATGCCAGCTGTTGTCACCGTCGTTGGATTCGACTCTTTCCATCTCTCAGTCCGCGAAATGTAATCTAATGATCGAAACCTCGGTCCAGAGTAGAAAGATTAGCGCTGACAAAAGACATAGTTTCTGTCCCGCGGTCCAGAATGCCAGCTTTGTTGCAACGAGTAACTGCGGCGAATGCGGTGTTTGATGTTTGGGTAGCACTCACAGCTTCACATTCTGGTTTGTATTCCTCTGGGTCAGAAAGCCTGCAAGCACGAGAGGGTTTCGGGTGAGACACCGCCAAAGAACCCTCGCCTTGTAACACGGTGCTTGACGATGTTGCTGTTACCTACTGAACCCTAGTCAAATAGGACGACCAAGTCGATTGTAGTTCTGTCGGCCTGCTGTGGCATGCGAGTCTATGTCCAACTGTATTCAATACTAGTCACCCAATCATACCGTACTAAATCTGCGCTGGTGTTGATACCACTTGCTGTCAGAGAACACCCAACGTTAACGGCAACCTGCTTCAGGAGTCTCACGCTGCCCCCTCAATCTTTACGCATTCGACAGCGCATATAGGATTTCCATCCTGAATATGATATCCCACCACTGTTAAACCTGCCGCAGCGACAATCTCCCTGTACTTGTCGTAGTTGCGTAACATTCCGCCTAGGTTCATCATGACCAGGTCTACGATGCAGTTCTCCGGTGTCGGCACCTCCAGCAGCCTCTCCTCTATAATAATGACCCGTGCGTTAGGCTTGTCAGCAGGGAGCGCTTCGGCCAGACGACGCAGGATCCCCGTGGCCATTTCATCCGAGTAGTCGCACAGAATCCTCCTAAGCAGATACACCAACGCTCCTGATTTCAAATTAGCGAATTCATCCCTTACACCACCATCCGCTCCTGCGTACTTGCAGGGAGGTACTCACCTTTGATCGGCTGCTCGTGATGAAAATCATGCTCCATCACCACCACCTCATCCAGCCCATGGCGCATCAACTCCGCCCTGGCCTCCTCAATGACCTCCCTCCGGTCCTGTAACACGCACTGCCGGGGCAAGAGGCCCACTACATCCCTCAGCACAAGGTGTATCAGCTGGCCCAACCCCCCGCCCACATCTACCACGACGGCCGCATTTTCGTCCATGGTGAGCGCCTCGATGCCAACCCATTCCAAGTCGCACAGCGCCTCCTCCCCGGTAAGAACCATATCCCCGCCCGCGATTTGCTTCGAACGCATAGTCCTCATGAAAGCGCTAGCGTACAGGGGATACAGGACCTTAACCTCCCACGGCGGCAGCGGCGCATGGCCCCAGCCAAAGCTGAAGGGCGTGAATCCCGGCCCTACAGGCTCGCGGCGGCCGTAGGCGCGGAAGTATTCCGGCCACTGCGAAAATGGCTTCATGGCGTTGCCGACGGCGACGATGCAGGTGTCCGAGAGGGGGTTGGTCCCGATGTAGAAGGGCGAGATTCGCGAGTGCGTGAGGGTTGGGGAAGGGGCCGGGGAGGAGTTTGCCGGTGGCGAGGAGCTGGGCGGATATTCGGGCTGGTTGATTATCGAGAGGGGTTAGAATTGGGGCAGTGGTGACTGAAAACGTGGTAGACATCGATGGGATGCATACCAACGAGCGATTCCTGCGCATTCAGGAGGCGGGCGAGGTCGGAGATCGAGATATACCCATCGAGCGGGATGCGGTCGAAGGCTCTCCAGTCGATAAAGATGTTCCATGCTGCGACGCTACCGAGCTGGGGCTGTTAGCTAGTGTTATGGTAAGAAGGTTCACTGGACTGACCACGATCCAGTCATCCTTAACGACGTCCATCCTGGGCGCCGTCTCGAACGCAATTTGTTTGGCCGTTTTAGCGATGCGCCGCCGCAGCTCCGCCGCATTGTCCTCCGCTTCGTGGGGATGCATGGTTGCGTTTATTCGAGCCAACCTCCTGACATCGTCGCGGAGGCTCTCAGCGGCCAGGGCCAGGTCGAAACCCGAGTTCGAGGGCATAGCGAGTAAATACTAACAACAAAGGTACTGAAGACAGTCAAGAAGCAAGGGGAAAACGAGGAAGGGGGGGAGAAGATGAACCTGGAACGTTTCGCGAGATATTCTTAAAACAGCATCACCTCAGGGAGTCACAAACCGGAAGGCGCGCTTGGTTGCCCTCGGGATTGCGCGCGAACCGTACAGCTACGCCCTCTGGTATTAGGGACTCGTGAACTCAGAGAGAGCCTAAATAGAAAGGCAACGACTGTACCTTACCACCATCAAACATAAAAATATTGCCCACGTTGGACAACGGCACGCAATCAAACGTGTGTTTTGTTTGCCATTCTAATAGCCCTTCGCGGTCCTTCCGCCGGAACCGGATACCACGTGGGGAAGAACTTTGACTTCCGAGGGGCACTTGCGTCGCCTTAAAGGCGCCGAATCAGGAACCAGGACTAAATTAGACAATAACGGCTAAAAATGGACGTAGATTCACCGCAAGTAGAAACGCCACCCTTTCAAGCCCTGAGACATGGAGAAGTTGCATTGTGCGGATCCCCAGTGCCAGCGGTTGTCCGTCCGGAACTCATATGGGGAACCTTTAACTAGATGAAGTTCCCTTCTGTAAACCTCGCCAAATTTTGAACAAACGTTTTGCGGTGGCAGGCTCTTCGGTTAGCAGTTATCAAATCTTCAATGGCAGCCGGGTGGTGCTTGTGAAACGACGGTCTGAGGCTCTGAACTCCAAAAGGCAAGTGAGTGTGTAAGTCGGTGGGTCCCACTTTTGCTGTAAGCTTCATGACGTCAACATCCCCGGATCTTCGGGAGCATTTGCTCCTTCCCACTTGACGTCGATGGGTATCGTGACGACACTCGTTTTGTTGCATCTGAGTTTATAAGAATTGGTGCCGAACTCCAAGAATTTCGCCCTAGAAGTGGCAATAGCTCACATGCACATTCACATCCAGACCCAACACCAACATTAACTAGTTCCGGCGCGACCATCAAGCCTCACGACGAGAACCCGAATCACGGCCGGTTAGAAACTTTAATGATCCTCCTCCGCGTCGCGAGACCCTCCATTTCCTCGCTCAAGCAGCACCGTTATCAATCCCTTACCCTCGCCTCCCGCGCCGCGACACTCACCACCTCGCCAATTCTGAAAAAAATGACCGAGGACAAGGACGGTAACAAGCAGAGCACTGGCAACGAGCCCCATCAATATCAAGCAGGCTCCAGCACAGAGCGCAAGGAGGATGAGTGGAAACTCCGAGCGCCATACCGGATACACGACAAGGCCGAAAATTTCGATGTCAAGTGGAGAGGGAAATGCCACTGCGGTGCCGTTCAGTACGAGCTGAGTCGCGAGAAGCCGCTGGCCTCCAAGTACTGCCATTGCACAACCTGCCAGCGGATGCACGGGGTATGTCCTGCTTTCGCGTCATCTTGATTTTCGCACCTTCAGAGCTGACAACGTGCAGGCTCCTTTCCAATGGGCCGCCATTTTCCACAAGGAGGACATCAACTTCACCAAAGGCCACCACGATCTCGGCTGGTACGACCCCACCGCCAAGTCACAGACGCACCACCTGCCGTGCAAAGTTCAGTGCGCCTACTGCCGGTCGCCCATCATGGACGAGGGGAGGAATATGATCCTCCTCTTTCCCACGCTCATCGAGGGCATCAACACCCCCGAGGGCAGAAAGGCGTTTGAGGTGCAGTCCCACATGTTTTACCCCCAGCGTGTGGTGGACATCAAGGATGGGAAGCCCAAATTCAAGGGGCTGGCGGATGAGAGTCCACTGGTGGATGAGGAGACGGGCGAGGAAATCCCGGAGAGTGAACCCAAGAAGGATAAGGACAGCTGATCTTGAATGGGGACATGGTTCTGGCGGATCCGGAGGTAGAAGGACGTGATGTGGACGCCAGGACGTTTTTTGCTCCTACGCTTGTATAAAATACAAGCCAAGTCAATATGCCCGTGTTTTCCCGGTAGAATAGAATTCTATGCCTTAGTCCCATCGGATCAGGCATACGCGTCTGAAACACCTTATCTTCGAATCGTCGATTCAGGAGCCTCGACGAGTAACGCCATGTTAGGCATCTTCAGAAGCCGATCCTTTCCATATGCTCATTAAAACCGTTTTCAAGTCTCATGGCTCCACCGGAATGATAACAATATGTCACAGCGGCCAGTCGATTTCTTCTCGGTGTGCCTAACCCATGTTCAGGACATGCTGCCTCTCTCTCGCCGTCACATGATTCCACTCCTGTGCCTCATCCCACCTTCAGCGAAATCAACTCCTATTCTGCCTCCCCGTCCGCACAGTAAAAGGCAACTCCTTCCACAACACCTTCCTCCCAAACCACCACAGCTCGTCCTGCCACGTATTCCAATAATGACTCCCAAACGGCGTCACGCGCGTGATATATCGAATCCCCACGGCATCCAAAGCCGTCTGCAGATTCCTCGCCATCGGAAACACAAAATCATACAGCCCATACGCCACCATAATTCCCTTCTCTTTCAGACTAGGCTTTGCCGCAACGGCCGCCGCGTCAATAAACGGCCCCAAGGTAGCCGGCGAGAACATGCCGTAGTAGTCAAAATAATCGGTCGCGTTCACAAACATCTCGTACGTCAGCAAGCCGCCCATCGACAAGCCCGCAAAGGCCCGGCAGCTCGCGTTGCGGCACACGTCGTAGTGCTCCTCCACCCAGGGGAACAGGTGCTTTTCAAAGTTCTCGCGCACGCGCTGCGCTGCGGGGACGGGGACTGAGTGGGATTTGTTGCCGTAGATGAACCTGCGGCCGTCTTGCAAGCTCGCGTCCAGGTTGTAGAAGGACGGCGTCACGACCACTGTCGGCGGGATGTGGCCGAGCCGGATCAGGTTGTCCATGATGTGGCTCATGCGGCCCAGGTTTTCCCAGTCTGCGCCGTTTCCGCCCGCGCCGTGGGACAGGTACAGGAGGGGGTACTCCCTCTTCTTGCAGCGCGGGCGGCGGTAGTCAGCGGGGAGGTAGATGGCGAAATCGTGCACGTCCGGAGCCGGGTGGATGGAGCCCGGGGAGGTGTAGTTGACTATTTTCACCTCACCGCGGTGGCGCTCCGGGTCAGGTGCGTCCAGGGCATAGTCGAAGTTGGTGTTGAGCTCGGACGAGGCCTGGAACTCGGCGTCGAAGGGCACCTGGAAGCTGGATGCCACTTGATCGCCGGGCACGTTCATGAAGGGCGGCAGGTCGGGGTCGATGACGAGGTGGCCCGTGTCGATGCTGCAGTTGGGTGCGTAGTTGCAGTTGACCAAGTACGCGAAGCTGTAGATGCCGCTGGGCAGGGGCGCCGTGTACGTCCACAGGCCGTCTTCGTCGTCTGACCGCTTCATCTCGTACGGCCACTTGTACGCCGGCTCAGCGGGCAGCTGTGGTGACGGGTTGCTGACGTAGAAGTCGCCTGGTTGGTAATCATGCGGGTCATACCGGCCGTTGAAGCGATACTCGGTACCCGTTGTGTGAAACTGGTCAGTGAATGGCTGTATGCCGCCCCCGATCAGCACCCGCTTGGCCGTGGTGTTGACATAGCGGAAGTCGACCTCGTAGCCCGTGGGACCGCGGCCCGTCTTGCGGATCGTCACCGATGCCGAGGACTCAACAGTCATCAAAAGCCCAACGAGGGCCTTGAGCAGACGAGCAGCCATCTTGGTAGATGATAGGGTGGACGACATGACCAAGGACCGGGGCGACGCACGAAGCGTCGCCTGGCTTTTAATGGTTCCCGGCCCTGTCAAAAGCGCGGGGCTGGGTGGGTATTTGATGAATGCGCATCCAATATCCAAGGCGGCCTCTCAGTTGCGCCTTGCATTTTGTGTTACATTCCGGAGCCAGCCCAGCCCGGTTTCCCCCAGGTTTGGTTGGACTTCCCCGCTCATTGCGCAAAAGGATTTGGGGAAGATGCCCGTTCAGTGGGCAGTCAACAGCACCAATTCAATCCCTTCAGGTCATATCCCGGGGTTTTGACTACGCCGGCTAAGATGCAGGCTGAGGTAGGAAAGAGGGTTTGGGTGGCTGGATGAAATCATTGCGATCTGCTTCATCCCCGCGTTCACCTGTCGTGAGGCTGATCAGATCCCCCCGCTTCTCGTTTTCAACGTTTGAGCGAGATCATGGGGTCCGTGCGTCACAGTCCCCACGCAGGAGAGCTCCACTTCCCACTTCCAAATGAGAACACAACACCCGAATCGAGCTCGGCATTTCAGACCACCGACTTTAGATTGAACATCTTCTAACCACAAGAAACCAGCCGAACTCTCCTGACCCTGCAATTTAGCACTGCAATTTGACTGCTTGACACCCAAAAGGATGAAATTTTTAACGACCTCGACGAGGACGACCTGGCTAAGTTGGAACGGCTGACGACGACGGCAAGCGCCCAAAACCACCTCCCGCTTGCCGAGCGCATCTTGAGGGAACAATTCGGCTATCCCTCTTTCGCCATGAACAAGCGGGCTCAACTAAAGCATTCTGGCCGGAGACAATGCTCTTATCATCTTCCCGACCGGCGCAGGCAAATCGCTGCGCTATCAGGTACGAATCCGTTCCGCGGCCAGAGCTCAACATGGATCGTCGCAGTATTTATGAAGCATGCTAACATCAGTGAGATATCCCTGCCATTGCCTTCCCAGAACGGGACAAAGCCCATGGCTTGAAACGGCCATCAGATGCTGGCATAACGCTTGTTGTGTCACCATTGATTGTTTTGATGAAGGATCAGGTCGACGCTTTAAAAGAAACGCGGAATCCCAGCCCGATCCATCGACTCGAGCAAATAATGGGACGATATCCAGCGCATTTATGCAAGCCTACGCGAGTTGAAGCTGCGGATTCTCTACTGCGCCCCCGAACGTTAAACAACGAGGGATTCGTGGCAACCATCGGGGGACGTTCCCGGAGGGATTTGCTTGCTGGCCATGGATGAGGCGCCTGCGTCTCAGAAGTGAGTTCACGTTCCCATATGTCCTGCAGAAAGACTGACAGCAGTACTTAGTGGAGTTACTCTTTCAGGGCTGAGTATTTGAATGGTACGCGCACCTTTCGACAGCCTCCTTCTGACCATTTCATCCTGGCGCCGCATGTACAGTTGCCCGCTTTGCCGAGGAAGTCAAAGCAGAACGTATCATATGTCTGACGGTAAGCGGGGCATAGGATCACAAGATACAAAAAGGAAAGATCTTGGATTTTTGGAAAACCACTGTCACACCAAACGTTGTAATGGACATTTGCAAGGCTTTTAAGGTCAAGAAAACTCACGTCTTCAAGACGTCTGTGTACCGGCCCAAGTACGGTATTCTTCCCAGCCAAGATTTCGTCTAGAAGTTCGTCTAACATGGTTCAGCCTCGAGCTCCATGCCAAGTCCATCAGCGCTGGCTCTATGTAGTTCGCAGACTACTGGATGAGTTTCATGGGTATCAAGACGGAAAGCGACCAGAGATTCGAAGAGCTGTTCCAGTTTCTTCGAAGTCATCCCCAACCGACCCTTGCCTACGTCGCCCTGCAACAGCAGGCAAAGAATCACGCCCAAGTCCTCCAGAAAAATGGGTTCAACGCACTACGTCTGAGTACTTATTGACAATAGGTTGGTAGAGGCGATTTCAATTAAAACGACCTGAAGACCGAGAGGACGGTTGCTATACTCGTCTCGATATCGTTTGGACAAAATATCATGTTCGGGGATGGATTTACGCCGGGACAAGGTGACTGGGTATTCCTTTTGAAAGACTCCCAAGCACGCGTTGGATTATTACAACAGGCATTGTCCTTCGATATATCGAGCCAAGCCTTCGATATATAGAGGCAAGGAATCAGTAGTTGAGAGCAGACGGGCCACGGCGCGTCCTGGGACTCAACCACAAAGGCCGCGCTAGAATGGTGAACATGCCTATGACAACTTGTAAGCTGCGGTCCAAGGTACTTCAGGGAACGAAACTGTTACCATCGGCGTAGTGATCCCGGTGGCCAAATATTTTCCACAGGCCTGCCTTGTACATGTTGGGCGTGATGACCTCGTCGTACCCACGACGTCGGTATTCCTGCCAAAGCAAGTCGAGCATGCATTCTATATCCTAGCGCCGTGAGAGAGAAAGAAGCAGGAGCCCGGAGAGAGGGTCAAAAAAGAAAAACTTCTAATCTGCTCCGGTTTTCCGGTGGTTGCTCTTGGCAGCCTCGGGCAGGAAGTGGTGATAGTCATCAAGTTACTTCTTGTCCGGGAAAAAGACGCCGGCAACACGCTGTACGGTCTTGTTTTTACTATCACCAAGCCAATAGGCGGACCCAAGCTGCAAGGGTGTCAGACTGTCAGTGAATCCGTATACACCCAACCAGCCAAGGTTTCGGTGAGACAATGTACGAACCCGAAGAACGGATTGACGAGGTCCGCTTTGAACATGACATGGCGCTGGAATGGCTGCCTCTGCTTGATGATGGATTGGCGAGCTTCTCTGGGACAGACTTCTCCGCGTCTTGATTTTCCCTATCGTTCCTCACTGTTGATTTCTCAAGGGCCCTTCGGAGTCGCGCTCACGGACATACCGATCCATATTGGCCATGTCGTAGACGAAGCCCGGTGGTTACTTGTAACACGACCATTGCAGAGATGACAGCCGAACTGCTTCTCAGCGGCCTCTCCAAGGATATGCGCGCTTGAGTGCCAGTACACACCTTTTGCTAACCGTCCATTAGCGGCGGCATCGGTACGAGGTCAACGAGGGTGCACCAACCTTCGGGGTGGCTGAAGTCAAGCAATTCCAGCGTGGAGCTGCGCTCAAGGGCCGGTCAAAATCCCAGAGCTCGCCATTCACCATCGCAACGACAGTGCGGGCAAGGATCGATTTGGATATAGCCGCCGGTATGCACGCAGGGGTGGTCGCCCATACTTTCCCGCTTTTCACCGTGCCATTGGGAAGTGTGATGGAGATCTCGACTTTGGGCTTCAATGCAGCCAAGGCACATAGTTACACAAGCCCCTCGCCCACTTCAACTGTTCAAGGGTCATTGGACTCCCTTTTGAGGGCAACTTCATGTCCCACAGCCAATCGGTCAAAGATCTCAATGCGGTGTTGGATGAAGGCGAACTGTATCTCCAACTAAAAAGACATCTGTGTTAGTGTCGGTTCAGTTCACATGAGCCGCGAGTCAGTTGGGCTCAAACCTCGAGCCCATTGACACTGTGGTGGGGTCCGGTATTGTCGTGGGATGTGGACTCGGGCTCGGTAGATCTTCTCAAAAGCCCAGCTTCGTGTTGTCGGATGACAATGACGTCTCCCATGTCGCTCTCTCGTTCCATGGTGCTTCGCTCGCGGTGGATGGAGGGAAATGAGGAGGTTCAAGGAAGAGAGCGAGGCGGAATGCGTGCCAGGTCGGCGAGATGGGGTGTGAATGAACTGAACTGGTGGTCGCTCGCGCTTGAATAGCGACTGCCCCGCAACAGTATGCCCTGCAACCCCGTACCGGGAGTTCGGTTGGTCCCAATCGTAAACGAGTAACCCCCTAGTACCAGAATCATGTTAAGTCATGATTGGTTCGTGTTAGCTTTCTTTCGCCCAGCCGCCTACAAAGAAAAACAATGTACTTTGGGATGCAAGTCGACCGTGGTATTGATCTTGGTCAAATCCCTCAATCGCTCAAAATTCACACATGATGGTCACCACGCCGTACTCACGTTTCGACATGACAAAGGAATGCCCAACACAAGTATCCCAGCGTGACAATGCAGCCCAAAAAGCCGCCGCCTGGTCAAGCTGTAGGCGGCGGTAGGTGAATGATTAGCCGCCCGTTACCGTGATGCGTCACAAGAGGGTGAGGTCGAGAATCTCCCTCGACAGGCACGTCCTAGGTACCGCCGGGGTTCTTCTTGCCCGCCCAGTTCGCCATGGCCGAGCCAAGGTCCTTCTTCTTCCCCGCGCACGTCGAGCAGCTCGCCGTCAGCTTGAGCGTCTCGGGTGCCAGGTGGGTGTAGTACGCCTTGTCCCCCCTCGTCGGCTTCATCATGCAGTACGAGCAGTGCTGGTCGGGCAGGTACGCCAAAAAGTCGCCCGTGTTGCGCATAACGCGGAACAGGTCGAGCGCAAAGGCGGGGGCTTCCTCGTCGAGGAACTTGTTGAAGTCTGAATTCTGGAGGAAGTAAAAGCGGGCCGTGTGGGCGAAGCTGAGGAACGCGGCGCGGATGGACGAGAGGTTGCCTGTATCGCCGACGGGGGCGTCGGCGTAGACGAGGCGGATGGCCTCGCAGAGTTCGGGCAGCCAGTCAGACGAGGACTCGTACTGCAGCTGGATTGGGCCGAGCTTGCTGTCGAACTCGGCTGTTAGGGTGTCGAGGGCGATCTTTGCGAGAGAGGATAGGGCGAAGTAGTCGGCCACGGTGTACACTTCGTAACACGTGACGAAGGTGGTCTTGGTGGGTGTGTCCGGCTTGAGGGTCGGGATGTTGCAGACTGGCGAAATGTCAGCTTGGCCACATGTGCATCAAGAACACACAAACTCGATGAGAATGGCATACTGCCTGTGTAGATGTATTGCACCAGCCAGTCAATGGCTTCTGGCGCGAAGTTTTGGATCTCAACCAAGCCCGTCTTCGCCTCTTGAAAGCTCCCAGTGAGGGCCTTTTCAAACCACAAGCTGCGCGAGCAAAAGATGTTCTCGTGCAGCTGCCATGTCCTGTCGCCGCACTTGAGCGTGACGTCGGAAAACAGCCCGGTGCGGAGCAGTCTTTGTCATTCCACGTCAGCAAGCTCATCGCAACATCAAAACGAATTTGATTAACATACTTCTCGTCGGATGACAGGAATCGATTATCCATTTCCAGCATTTGAGTTGGTGGTGCAGTTGGGTGTTTGAGCCTAAGGACATGGATGCTCTATGAGCGGTGGGTCCGGTGGGATAACAAAGCCGCCAGGCTCAAGGTATATCCGGGTTAGGGCTTTATATGGCAAAGCATGGAATAATCCGTACTGTATTTTGTGCAATGGCGAAACCGATGCGGTACCTTGAAATACTGTCATAGCCTTACATACGTCGCAAAACGAACATACAATAACTAAGATCTTTATGACAGACTCTTTGATCAGCTTAGTTCCGAATGGAAGCGTTACCTGCCTAAACCAACAATAGCAAAGACCACCCAAACTCGAACAGCAAGTATGAGGGAGTGAGAAAGAAAAAGGCCGGGGTGGGAAATAAGACAGCCATTCCACTGCAACTTTTCCATTTCAAAAGGTAGCTCCAAGTTAAACCCTGCCCTTCGAGACGGCCACATCTCATTCCGACTTCGCTCTACCGAGCCTGACCAGCCAGACCAATGCCTCTGACTCAAGCGAAGGAAGGATGCTGCCCTCAAGTTGTCACGGTGAAAGTTTCACCCCGGTCATCTCGGAGGGTTCGCGGTAAACTTTTTCCAAAAAAAAAAAAGAGAAAAAAGAAAGAAAAGATAAACAAAAAGAACCCACAAACCTGATCCTAACCTGCCAAATGAAGCTCAGATTTACCTAGGTACAGCAGCGAAAAGGATTGATACAACACTTATCAATACCCGACAAGAAGCCGAGGATGTAGATAGGCCGTTGCCTGACTCCTCATGTCTACAAAAGCACACCTTACCCTAATCAGCGCCACGAGGATTTTCAACAACACACTGCCAGTCCAGTGGCCTCTGACCCATGGACCCGGCAACTTGGGTAACGGCTGCCGCCAGGATGCCGAGAGTCCGGAAATAACCTCTCCCTAGATGTTCTACCAGTGGTCGTTACCCCGGATCGGGACCTTCTCCGCACATTAGCTCGCCTTGGCCCACGATAGTCCCACAATCCTATGATCGGCAGTTAACCCCGAGCCCCGGGGGAAGAGGGCTGCAGCCGAAATCAGCTGGGGAAATAAAGGAATCTAGCGCCCTGCTGGCTGACATGTCATCTCAACACCACAGTCCCGAGCTCTGCAACAATTGATTTGGTGTTGCATGCTGCCCTTCCGCATTGTTGGACATCTCTGAAGCCGCTCGGGGCCTCTTCACGTCGCCATCATGTCGCTAAGACCACAGTGGCTGACCAAGACCTTCCTGGCCTCTCTCTTCCTGGGCATAGGAGGCTTTCTCTACGGATAGTGAGTGGAGAATCTGCCAGCTTACCTCAACTTCGACGGGCCTGGCCTCAAGCATGACGAAGACTCTGACAACTCTTCCCCTCTCCTCCAGTGACTCGGGCATCATCACGCCAAGTCTTGCCCTCGGGTCTTTCGTGAACTACTTCGACAAGCCCAATGCGCCGCTTCGGGGAGCTATTGTCTCGGTGTATCAAGCCGGAGGTAAGCACTTGCTGTTCACAATATCCCTCCCCTTTCGCACGTTAGATTTGCCGGGATTACTGACAGCGTCGTGGTTAGCGTGGCTGGGAAGCGCTTCTGTGGGTGTGACCAGTGACAGATTGGGCAGACGAAAGGCCATTGCTTTCGGATGTGCCTGGGGTGTGCTTGGCGGGGCGCTGATGGCTGGTGCAGCCCACGTTTCAATGCGTACGTACCCGGCCAACTATTGACGGACAGTAGGAGCGATGCTGATTCTGGTTGGAGTCATCATTGGTCGTCTTTTGGTCGGGTATGCTGTTGGAACCATCACTGGAGTTGCCCCTGTGTTTGGGGCCGAGATCGCCAAGGTGAGATTGATAGGTTTTATTCTACAAAAGGAACGTGGCTCCTCGCGCGATGCTGACTGTCGGCAGACACATGAACGTGCCAGGATCACGGCGGTGAACCAGATGAGTGAGTGATGTCTCCCAGCTGAGGACGACCCATCACGTTGCCAGAGCTGACATGCTTCAAGTGGTGGCATGGGGATTCTTCATCGCCCTCTGGACCGGTGTGGGTGAAGGTAAATGGGCCAATGCCAACCAGTGGCGGCTGGGCTTCGCCATCCAGGCCATTCCCGCCCTCGTCCTCGGCGTTGGGGTCCTGTTCATTGGGGAGTCACCGAGATGGTTGTGCCTGAAGGGACGCTACGAAGAAGCCGAGGCGACCTTCCGGCGCTGGCACGATGACGGTTTCAATGAGGAATGGTGCAGAACCGAGTTCGCCTCCATCCAGGCCAGCATCGCCGATGAAGTGCAAGCCCAACATCGTCTCGGTTGGCTCGACCTCGTCCGCACGCCGCCGTTCAGGAGACGCCTCTTTGTCGGATCCTTCGTCTGGGCCGCGGCCATGCTTTCCGGCATCAGCTTTGTGCAGTACTTCCAGACGGCCATCTATGCCACGCTGCGGTTCGACCAGGACCAGCAGCTGCTGGTCAGCGGCCTGTACGGTTGTGTTGCTCCGATCGCTTGCATTCTGTCCCTGTTCTTTGTCGACCGTATCGGCCGCAAGAAGATTCTCATCACCAGCTCCTCCTTGCTGTCGGTCTCATACCTGATGATCACGATTCTCGCTGCCCTGTACCCTGCGCGGCCCGGTCAGCCAACCAACGAAGCCGCTCAAAAGGGTCTTATTGCTTGCATCTTCTTGGTCTCGGCCAACTACTCGGCTCTGTTGGGGCCCATGACGTGGATTATTCCGTAGGTTACAGGTTTCGAAATACCTCTGACTGGGCGAATTGACAGTTTGCAGGCCAGAAGTCTTCACCACCGAGCTCCGCGCCAAAGCCAACGCCGTCGTCCAAGTCATCCACTACTCCATTAGCTTGGTCATCACCCAATGCTCGCCTATCGCTCTTGAGAGGGTGGGCTGGAAGTATTACGTGAGTGATGCTGACGCTGACCGCCCACATCGGAGGACGAAAATTGATGCTCGTCACAGATACTGTTCATCCTCACCAACGCTCTGTGCGCTGTAGTTTTCGCGTTTGCGTATCCAGAAACTAGAGGTCAGTGGGCTTCTGATACGGCCGAGAAGCATAAACAAAGCCCTGAACTGACTTTCTCCTGTAGGCAAATCACTTGAGCAGATCGACGAAATTTTTGGTGACATCCAGAAGAAGTATGATGTCGAGGAAAAGGTTACTATGGCTGAGAAAGACGGGAGTGATATTGTTGAGGCAGCAAGATGATTGTATGTTTCCTACTACACTTCAATACCCCCCATTCCCAGGAAGTATGTAGGTTGTCTAGTGATCCGGGAGGCATCAAATATGTAGTCGACGAACATGCTGCGTGTCCCAAGAGGTTCTATGAAGGCTTGACATCCTTACTACTCGGCCAGAATTCCGCATCCAAGAAAGGGGAAACTACAAGAGGACTGTCGATGCTCGAGCAGATCGAAAGGCTTCGAGAACAAACCTCAATCGAGCATGACCCCCTTCTCCTCAACAGCCAAGTATTCTTAAGTTAACTCTACGTAGAGCAGACAGGGAAGGTGGAGAAAGGGACCCGGATTATTGAGCGTGCCATGGAGCTGACGGTAGAAAATCGTCTTGCGGAGGACGACTTTTCCCTCTTATCAGCCCAGGAGGCGCTTGCAGAAGCCTACTTGAAGAGGGAGAAGTCCGAAGAATTGAAAAGGCAGTACAGTTGCTCGAGCCACGTCATCAAAGTCCAGCAGAGGGCTTCTCCAGCGCACAATGGGACTTAAAGTGCCAATTGGCGCTTGTCAAAGCATACGTCAACGAGCTTCGGAAGGTGGCAGAGGGACGCAAGCTGCTGGAGCATATCGTTCACGTCCTCAAGAAGGTGGTCGCAGAGGACTACCCTGCACTCCGCTCCTACCAAATAAGGCTTGCAGCTACTCTACTCGATGAGCGGAGAGGGGGCCAGAGGAATAGCCCTTCTGGAGCACGTCACAAGGAGATAGAAACTTATGAACGAACCTTCAACATTGGCTTTCTGTGAAGAGCAGCTTGGTAAGATGAAGAAAATTTTTGGGAGCGGAGACTCGGACCTGGCCAGCAAGATGAAATCCCTCTCGCTGGATGATTGATCGCGGATTGCACAGTCGCTCAGATCGCCGCTACCAAAGCCGATCTTTTACGTTGCTTCAGCTACCTTGTTGTGGAAAAGAGCAGCTCAACTACAGAGGCAGATGCGATCAGCTCAACTAAGGTACAAGGTATTGAGTGATGATGATTCGGAGGGGCAAAGAGAAATGATAATCCATTGACTGAGAAATACAGCGAGAAATGGTCCGGCCCTCTCAGGCTTCGTTTCCCTTGGCATTGAGTCCCGAACAGCAAGCAGTATTTGGGAGAACTAGTACTATGCTAGAGTAATCAAGAGTTATTCGGAGCTCTGAGTTAACTTCGAGTTGCCTCCCAGTCTACTTCATCTTCCAGGCTACTTCTGTGAAAATCACCTCGCATTTCCGCCTGCGATAGTCAGCACTGGCAACCTCTATGTTCGCAGCCCTGCCCATGCTCGGTGACGTATGGTACATCAACCACTACAGCGTGCCCGCACGTATGCCTATCCCGCGGCCTTCTCTCAAATCAAAATCCAACAATAATGAGGTAAAGTAAGTACCCTATTCTCACCGTCTCACATCTCAGCCACCCTGGACGTCAACCTGCCTCTCCCTATCACGGTGACTTCTTACTACGATTCGTCGAACGACCCCAGAGCTGGATTGAAATACATTCCTGACAAGTCTTTTAGCATCAGCATGGGTCTACTCCAATTGCTTTTCAATGAAACGCGGTACCACTGGCGGACGCCAACGGACAGACTTCAGCTGGTTACTGGCACTCCCTCCAGGTTGGACTCGGATGGTTTTCAGGCGCATGAAGATGAAAAGCAACCTGAACCTTTGGACTCCACCTTTGGCTCGTCCAGCAGCTCTTAGCTCTGGATACCATACTGTTCCTATTACACGCCAAGTTAGCCAAGTCCAATACTGTTCCATTGCAATCTACTAACCTCCAGATGCTTTCATAGCTGACCCCAAGTCCTCCCTTCCCCTCTTTGCTTCTACCAGAAAACCTCTCAACATCTCTTCTCTCGCCTCCTCTTCCCCTAGCACAGCCAGTTTGTTCATACCATCAGGAATCTTCGTTTGCCCCGGCCACTCCTTCATTTCCATCACAGACTCGTCCACCCTAAGATCCACTAACCCCAAATCAACCCCCAGCACTGTCGCCGCCAAAAACCCATTCAGCCCGACAATCTCAACCTCCCCTTCCCTAATACCCCTCTCCTTTCCTTGGCCCTGTTGACCCCTAAAGCCCTGCTGTCCGAATGGATCCTCCTATCCTTCTCCACCCTCACAAACGCATACCGTTCATCCGTACATACCCGGCTCTCGAATCCGGCAGCCAACTAACTGTGTACGTGCCGGCAGCGGCAGCGGCCCCCTTTTTCCCCACATCAACCCACAACCTCCTCCCAATAAGCACAACCAAACTGACCCCGGGCAAATCCCTTAGCACCGGCCACAGACACCTCCTCCTCTCCCCTCCAGGCTGCCTACCTGTATCTTCTTCTCGTCCCCAAGCAGCAGCCGACCGTTCCGACATGGCTATGTTCTCAGTGGGTATGGGGACTGATCTCGACGCGATCAGTACCTCTACCTGTAGTAGTATTAATGTAGCAAAGTCGGATGAAAGAGCGTAAGCGAAACAAAACAGCGACGTCGGGCTGTCGCCTGCGAAGCGGGGTGCGTGGGTGGACGTGAGCAGGGAGCGGAGATATAATAGGAAACCGGCGGCGAAGCGGTAGGGCGGGAGGAGGGAGTCGCCGACGTAGAAGAATTGGTGGTTGGAAATGTTGCTGGCTGGATGGGTGTTGTCGCGGGTGAAGAGGTGAAGGACGGGGTAGTAGATGGTTAAGGGGCGTACAGAGGAGGAAGGTGACACGGACGGGAAGGAAGATTTTCTTGCGGAGCGGGGCGGAATGCGCGCCGGAGAGGTGAGGGTGGGGGAGGCGGGCGGGAGGATTTCTTAGGTGGGAGGCTATGGTGAGGAAGAAGGTCGTGCTGGCGTGATTTGAGGAACGGGTTGGCTTTGGAGGAGATAGAGGGCTTGGAGGGAGGGGTGTGCGGTGAGGGTGTCGATGATAGAGGTTGACGGGGTTGAGGAGCATGTTGATGGTCAGACTGATCGATGTGGGCGGGATCGGGGTCGTTTCAAGTGCAGCCGCGATGGCGACGGCCGAGAGGTTGGCGAAGGGGTCGAGGTTGAGGTGCGGCTCGTGAGCGAAAGCAAGGCCCAGGAGTTGGCCGGTGGATCGCAGGTGGCCGATTGTTGGGGATTGCTGTTGTAGGTGGCGCCGGAGCACGGCTTTGAAGTCCGTTGTGCTGCTAAGTCCGTGGGCCAGAGGCTGGGAATTTTCGACTGTTTGGGCCCCTATCAGACCGTTGATCAGAGCCACCAAATTCGCATCTTCTGCACCAGGAGGGTCTGAACGGGGAAGGGCCTCGACGACATCGCGAGGTCAAATTCGATACAGAGCAGCCGAATCGACAAGCCCAATGCTATCGAACTTTTCAACTCGGTCATCGCAAGGCTCGTACGGAACCTCGGCCATACACGCCGCGGTGGAGAGCGGGTCTCGCGTCCGGTCCTCCTCCAGGTCGACATCCCGATGTCCGGGACCGTCTCCCCAAACCTCCTCTCCGTCGGAGTCGTCGGATCCATCGGGGTTCCCGGATACGTGGATCATGACTATCAAGCGGAAGGCGACGACGCCATAGCGTATCGCGTCCAGGTCCGAGATATCCACCAGGGCCATGGAAGACGCCATGTTGGTGTCGCGGAAGACGGTGCCGAGGGACGCAGGGCGGTCATGTACGGCAACTCCACGCTCCCGATCGAACGACGCGCCGAGCAGGAGGCAGGTTGATATGAATGCGAACTCGCGCAAGCCGCGGTCCTACTGGGAGGTCTGATTCTGTCGCCTCCAAGCCGGCGTATCAGGAAGTTCGATTTGAAGCAGCGCATTCTTGGAGTCTTGGTACCATAGAACAGCGAGAGCCGAGCTCCGACTGAATGCCCTTGCGATTTGCCTGGTCGGAAAAGACGGCAATGGTGCCCAGTATCGCGGCGAGCACATCCCAATCTCGGATCGCTTCCGGTGGTAGGCCGCCTTCGCGCTTGATGACGGAGAGCGAGTAGTGTTAGCTCGAGCTGCCGGGGCCGAGTCTTGCGACAACGAACAGTATCAACGGATCGGGGCTTGTTACATGCACCTCTTAAACTCGGCTTCCACGCAGTTTGGCTCAGTGAGGGGCCTGAAGGTGGCGCCATAATCCATGTGGCCCAGGCCCTGTACTGATGCTTGAGGCGTCTGTTCTGAGGGTGGCTGCCTTAAAAGTTGGAGGTCGCAATGGGTAACAGGAGACAGGGACAGGTGAGGTACCGGGTAAACTCTCTCGTCTTAGACCAACGTTGGGCCCAGGAACGGTAGCTGACCGTAACATAAAAAATCTGGTTGGTCAACTGGATCTGCCAAGGAACCGTGGCATAACCATTGCGCAACTGGAAGTTGCCCTCCATTACCCATTTCCATATACTGCCTGGTACGAACGCTATGTGCTGCAGCGATTCCTGTGCGATACTCAACCAAGCCGACGAATCCCGTTGCCGATCTCACTCCGCAGCATTGCAAACAGCTTCGATGTTGTTCCCCGCCGGATCCAACACAAAGGCCGCATAGTAGGTCGGTCCGGACTGCCTCACGCCCGGCCCACCATTACACTTCCCACCAGCAGCAACACCGGCCTTGTGGAAGGCATCCACACTCGCCCGATCTACACCAACATGCATGTCAGCCACTATCCACGCAACCCTCCGGCCTCAAATGAAACTGTCCGCATACCAACGAGGCGGCAACACTGAAGTGAGAAGGGGAAGACTCACCCTTAGCAACGAAAGCAGTATGCGTCGGCAGCACACTCGCGACATCCGCGTCGGCAGGCGGCGGGACGCCCGGCGGCGCGGCGGCAGACGAAGTCACCCACCAGTCGACCTCCCCAGGGGACGGGCCGAATCCGACGACTTGGTTGTCGAGGAAGGCCATGGCTTTGGTGTAGCCGAGGGGCGCCAGGGCGGCCTCGTACCAGGCTACCACTGCCTGGTGCCGGGCGGCCGAGACCTTGATCCCTGTGTGTGCGATGGGCATTTTGAGGGAGTTGGAATGGATCGTTACTGGTTGATATGTAGGTGACCTGCTGGTGAGGTACTACTAAGGTGAGAACTGTTGGAGAGATGGGCTTGGGATAAGGTAAGGTGGGTAAACCCGAAGTCGGTGTTGAAGAAGAGAGAAGAGAGAATAAAGGTGTCACTTCAGGGAGGAAAGTAAGGTTTATAAACACTTGAATCGAACGTGCAGAAGTGTAAGAACGTGATCTCTTTGCTGACTTCTCGTCCTTTGCTTCTATGCCTTCTTTGTTGGCCTCATCGAAGTGATCGGTCGGGCGGCGCGGAGAAATGGCAAATCCCCGTCTTAGGTCGGTGGTCGTATGTCCAGTCACCGACTTGCCGGGGATGCGCGGGCCTCCTTGATGCTGCCGAGGAATCCCACGGCGCGCGTCGCGTTGGATGATTGGGTCATCGAAATTGGTTCGACGCGTTCCTGACGCAAAATCCCGTGCAGCTGCAGCTGAGTCACCGGCCAGGAGTTTGGCGTCTTGGCCGCTGTTTCGGAGCTGGCTCCGAGAAGCGACGATTTCCGACTGAGCCGAGTGTCAGCGTTCTTTTGGCTCCGAGTCCTCTGTTTGCATCTCCCTCTCAGCACGGACTTCAACTCGCAACGTACACGACACCTTCCTCATATTTGAGATGGACATTGGCCTTCATTGCACCGTCGCGCTCATGTCGGTGCTTTGCAATACCATCTGCACACCGTCTCATCTGGCCGCCACGTCTCGCAAATCTAGCCCCGTTCTGGCGACAGTCTGAGCCACCGCAATGCCGGGTACCGAGCTACCAACTCATTTGAAGGCCCTTAGATGGAGAATGCACATTTTGTTTCAGTTGATGCCCAACTTAGCCGCTATTCTGCTCCGTACCAAAGGTACCTGAGTGCGGGCATGTTAATCCAGCTGGCGACTGTGCCGAGTCGAGCCAATCCAGCCAGGTTCAACGACTGTTCGATGTTGGCGCGTGGCGCGCATAGCCAGCCATGATGCGCTTGGAAACACTGAATTGGCTGATTCGGGGGTCCGCAGCAAGAAGGCCCACGACGAGACAGAAAGGCACATTCTCAAGTCACGCGATTTTATCAGAAGGCTGAGGGGTATGCCAGCTGAATGCTCCGACCTCCGCCATCATCCTCAACCCGTGCTTTCTCTGTCTCACCTGCTCCACCAGAGCCAACAACGACCTTACCTTATGGAGCCCCTGAGCGCCTTGAGTATTGCAGCAGCCGGTGTTCAATTTGTCGACTTTGGACCAGGTTGCTGCGTGACACAGTCGAGATCTACAAGTCGGCGTCGGGCCAGACAGAGCGAGTCGAGAGACTGACAAAGATTACCAGTGAGCTCCACGATCTGTCGAAGGAAATAGAGGGAAAGGCCGCGGCATTGCGAGCAAATGCCCCTCTTGGGTATCCCGACGCCATTTTCCTTGGCACCTGCAAGCAATGCTAACTGATATGCATATATCCCACGAGGGTCTGATGCGCACCCTTTTCTTTCAGTGCCTGGACCCCGACCTTACGCCTTGGGTCTGCCAAAGGCGATGGGCCTCCATTCAAATGCTGCGACCTGGCGCAATACGCCATGTTCCGGACTAGCAATGGGACGAACTTACCGACTGTTTCACAGCCCTGGTATCGCAGGCTGGGAGTGGGTACCGTTTTGTCCTCTTCATCGACGCTTGACGAATTCGATGGAGATCACAGCAAGCTCATCGAGACCATCAAAAACCACAGCCAGTAGAAGCATGTTAGAATATGTGTCAGCAGCCGGCCCTGGAACGTTTTCAACGATGCCTTCCAGCGGAGCCCCAGCCTCATGGTTCAAGGCCGAACCAGGAGCTACATTCAACGGTATCTCGGGTCGGTTGGCGTGGGTGACGGTCATCCGCTAGCGCGGATGACCGATACGACGCCACTGAATACCCCGGTTTTTGGGCGCGCGGCCGCCCTGACTTTTCTGGGCTTGGCTGGCCTGGATGACCAGCGAATTGGGCGGCAATAAGCGGCTTTCCTCAGGGCTAGCCATACTAGCGCTGCGTTTTCTCCCTCCCTCCGCCCCAATCTACCACTACCACCATTGTTTTATTGGTACGGCGTATCAAGATGGACCAGCTAGATCCGAGCCTTGTTCAGCGCGTCAACACGAAGGTCTCGGCCGTCGTTGAGAGGTATCTGCTCGACGACCAGGACGTAAGGCCTAAGAACACGCGTAAGGCATACGGACCAAAGCAGGCCGAGTGGATGGTTAGTCAAGTTGGCCCGGCCCCCCTGTTACGGAAGCCTGGCAACTAACAGAGATGTAGGAATGGTGCAAATCTCGCTTCCCAGAGATCCCGCCTGGTTGGCCGGCGCAGTACCAGATAGGCAGAGCCCT